AAAACTGACGAAAATGACTCAGCAAAACCCATTGAATAACAGTATAATGTATAATAGTATAATGTGTTGATTTTTCTGTATTTTTTAGTGGCACTGGGTCTATAGATGGCAATGTTGGTGTGCCAGACCACCACTTTGGTCCAGACTGAAATATCTCACCAACTATTGGATGGATTCTCATGACATTTCCCCAGTGGACTATTAACTTTGGTGATCCCCTGACCTTTTGTCTAGTCTAGCCATGAGTTTGACATTTATGTTTTTTATTTGAAATGTCTCAGCAACTATTAGATAGATTGGCATGAAATGTGGTACACTCATGTCCCCCTCAGGATGAATTCTTATAACATTGCTTATCCCTTAACCTTTCATCTAGTGCCATTATCAGGTCAATTGTGATTCTTCCAATACTTTAATCACCAAACATCCCATCAGCCTCAGTTACACTTTGTGTTTAGTGGTAACTAGCAAATATTGGTATGATGTGCTACGGCATGTAGCACACTAAACTACTATGGCGAACATGGTAAATCATCAAACCTGTTAGCATTGTCACTGTGAGAATATTAGCCTGCTGATGTGGCATGTAGAGTATGTGTTATGCCCTTAATTTGCCCGGTTACAGACAGTTATTCTATCGATTACGTATTTCATTTTTCTTTTTTAACTTTTTTCTTCCACTTCAGTTAATAAAATGTTCCTCTTATAGTGTCCATCGTTTGTTCCTCATTGTGTGTTGTACAACACCACACCACAACTAGCTTCAAGTGGCTAAATGGCCTGTACATTATACAGCTCACTTTCCAATTCCCTACACATGGATATTGCCTTGTAATGAAGCCAAGTTCACCGGGCCAAGAAAGTCTGTCAGGGTGGGGGCTGAGGGGAGACAGAGTAAAACGAGAGTTTGAAAGCTCCACAATTAAAGCGGTATCTCTTTGAAATCCCTGGCCAGGCTTGGCTACTCCATTCAAGCTTTCCGCTCCCTATCGGCCTATTATCTGATCTGGAGGGGAAGTGAAGTTTACACTGCTGATAGCTGCTCTGAATGATGCTGCCTGCGCACAACTCTGATTCTTGATGACCTCAATGACCATCCACTGAGAACACACACACAAACACACACACACACACACACACACACACACACACACACACACACACACACACACACACACACACACACACTTACACACATAAACACACAGACTCACAGCTGTAGTGACTGTTCCATTGAGAAACATGGAAAAAGGCCAGTTCACTGAATGTGGTGGCCACACGCTGCAGTTAAAGGTGAGGAGTGTCTTTTTAAAGCATTCTCATCGCCCCATGTCGGCTTCATGGAGTCAAATGGCCATTCATTGAGAGACTTGAAATAGTTATTCTTAGTTTGAAATGAAAGGTGTCTGCAATACTTATACAGTGACTACGACAACACATTAAAGAGTTAATGGTCCAGTTAAAGTTGTAGTTGCTGCACATCAAAACACTACCAACTGTTTTTACTTCTCTGTGACCCCTGTGCTGTAAAAATACTTTATGGAGAGTTCTGGGAAAAGGAAATAATTGTGAATGAAAGGTTGTATTTAAAGGGGTTTGTGACCTACAACTGCCCATGTTGATGTTTTAGGTTGTACTCTGAGGAAGGATCTTCAAATAACAAGAAGAACATAGGAAGAAAACCATCTCCTGTGCAAAGGTTAGCAGATTTGGGAGTTCTTTTGTGATTGCATAGGCTATTATGAGGACCTCAAGTGTGTACAATTCATTATAACCATGGATTTTAAATGCTAACATTTCAGTGACCCCTATGATCATAGCTAATTAGTTCCATCATACTGGGAAATTAGTGCTAACTGGAGCAAAATGCAGGGTGGCCCATGGCTGTTTACTTGCTGATGTTGGTTTTGTGAACAGCAAAAGTCGTGATTATGAGAGCTGGTGTGAAATTTATTGAAATGATGTTCTCTCTAAAAAATGACTATGACTCTTTGTAACACCACAGGCCTGCACATGTAATGACCATAATGACAGAGGGGACAGAGCGTCTTGGCCTGTTTTGGCTCAGTAAGGATCCTGCGGGCAAACATCACCCTCTCTTTATATTTTTGGATACCACAGGCATTTCATATGAGGCTTTTGTTTTAGGTATGCACCTGCAAATCCAAGTTAGCCTCCTTGATGGCGGTGCATGTTGATTGCACACAACAAATGAGCTGTAAAGTCATGTGCCAGCTGTTAGCGTTTATCACCACATAAGGTCTGGGGCGGGAAACATCTACAGACGCCTGCAGTGATGTGTCTCTGAGTGGAGTGATGACATACGGGCCAACTGAGTACAACTCATGCTATAACTCAAGTTAGTTCTAGTCTTTAAAATTTTAGATAAGTTTCACTTTTTAGGAATATGTCTTTTAGGGATGACTGACAACAGATTTCAAGATACTTGTAGTGATTTTTTACATAAAACAATACCCTAAATAACTAATCCTAATAATAAGTCTCCAGATAATGTGTTATGGGTTGATGTATTGTGTATGTATGCCTTGGCTTTAATTTTATCTGAAAATGGCTTACTCTCAGTCATCTGTTGATTTATCATCATATGTTTTGGTTATGTGCTACTGCTATCATTGAGTTAAACACAAGATTACCTTTAGTAAGCAATGTTTTCTTAACTTCTTATCTATGTAGATTCATCTCATCCAGCCAAAATAATTTATCAGTTGCCTCTCATACACAATGTGTGTTTGTGTTTGAGCAGAACAATTAGTGTTTGTCCACTGGTGGTGAGTAAATGCTGTAGACTGAACTACAAGACTTTAAAGACTGAAACTGTGAAATTAGTTGCAGTCTATGTAGGAGTATATAGACAATTGCAATAAAGCTTCTGGCCACTAGTTGCAGCACTGACTGCACTACTGCTGAGCATCATTTCAGTCAGTAAGTGAGGAAAAAATCCTGTGCCATCTTTGAGTTAACATCTGTTGGTACATTAAACAATGTGACTCACCCACCTCTTTTATGTTAGTCAGCCATGTATTCATTTATTTCGGTAAACCTACTTTACGTATTTTTCTCACTTAAATTGCCCTCTGAGCCCAGTCTAACCTACAGGACTTTTCTGTTGACTTATACTGCCACCATTGAGGAAATGAATTCCTAACATCTTCATGCTATGGCAGAAGTGGACTAACACTAGGCATCTTTTAACCCAGTGGTAATGAAGTGAGATCTTTGGAAATAACCACAACAGCTGAATATACACAAAAAATTGTTAAATATTTGATTATTTTAGATGGCTATTTTATTCTATCGATTAACTGTACATTGGACAACATATTCAGATTACAAGACATCAAATAATATATTGCTGAAGTATAACCTTGATTTAGTATTTGGGATTTAGGGGCATATAGCAGTGAAATACTACTCGCCTTCCAAGCACGTAGGAGAAACTGCAGTGGCCCTGAAAGACCGCTCCCTCTGTAGATAAAAAATGGCTTATTGTAAGGTAACAAAAACATGAATTCTTATTTTCAGGTGATTATACACTAACGAAAACATACATATGAACATTCAACAGAGCCTCCTAAATGTAACACACTGGACCTTTAACTTCTATTTTCAAGAATAATCTAGAAACAGGTTTTTAAAAAACTGGGCTCATATAATCCGGGTAGTTTAATGATCCAGCTAACATGTCATGGCAGGAAAAGCACAATTAAACTTACTCACATTAATTAAGCTGCATTCCATTTAGTTGAGTCAGATCCAGCGTCCAGGTATTGTGTGTACTCACTCACTAGCCCGGCATTCTAGGACACTTGACTGGAACAGAGCTGTCATTAATAGTGTTAGTTGCACCTGTGCTTTTCCTGCCGTGATAAGTCTTAATGTCTGCTGGGAAAAGGACCTATATTCTATGGTATAACTGCATTATAGGTCATTTTATGGTGGATATTATTAGAGTTTTAGAAAATATTATAGTTATATATGAGACATAATCTTTTTTTTTTTTTTTTACATACGTAAAAAAATAATCTGTTACCATAAATGTGTACAGAGCGGAACATTATGCTGTTTAAAACCAAACTTCTCAGTGGTCTCTGGTGGACAAACTATGTAATGGCGACACTGTTTCTGAATTACCTCAAACATATTTTTGGCATTTCTGTCCTGTCCGACATATACAATGAAAGCGATATGTCTGCGATGAGCTAATATACATTTTATCAGTCTGGCTTTAATGCATTAAGCCCATTTAAAATATATAGTAGAAGAAGTTAACAGGACAAGTTGTGTGTTCTGTTTGTGTATGTGGGGTGGGAGTGGGGGTGGGAGGGGTGTATGAATGAGGCAGGAGACTGTGACTGGATACCCCTCTCTTTGATCCTCCACATTACAAAGGCACCTACAAAGGCTCCCATACAGCCTGTAGCATTGTTCTGCTGAGGAGACTATAGCTCATAAAACCATTACCATTATCCTCACACAATACCGTTTCCAGCACCTACTTAAGACCTCAAATCACTACTGTATATGGCTACGCTGCTTGCCAGTTTGCATTTTGTCACTCTGTGATCCCATGAACTTCTAAGTATACAGCCATGCCCAGATTATCTCGCTTGTGGCCCCAGGGCAGGCATTTCCTATGGGCCCCACCTCACTGTCATGGTCACCAATCTGTTCTGTGCAACTGCCCCCCCAAAAAAACCCTGATTAACCCAAAGCTATTGAAAGTACTCGAGTGTGTCAATGTCTATAATAAATAGAAATTTACAATTGAATCACCTCATATATCATGAAGTCAGTTAATTGGGGCACTTTCTGGTCACTGGGGGCCTTGAGTATGGACCCTGTATAGGCTGGCCCAAACACAGTCACTGATCATATCACATCATCCCAAGTGGACATACGCGACCACTCCTGTCACCACAGTAGCTATATAACGGGAGTGGCTTTGTAGCACAAGTGTACCTTGCCTGGCCGATCCCGCCCCTAGCAGTGGAGAAAGCTGGTGCACAGGCTTGCAACGAAGCCCATCGCAGTTTGACTGTTTGAGCAGCCCACCCCTCTCTGCAGTATGCATGTTCGCCAGGGAATCCGCGAAGCGCTCACGTCCCAGCAGTGTGTTTCACCGGCCAGAGACCATCTACTCAAGAGTCGAGGATAATAAAATTGGATGTGGCAGGCGGACCGGAGGCGGAAAGCCCGGAGTGACCGGAGGAATACAGTATTACTACAGGAATACAGGCTGCCGCTCTCCTCTGAACGTGGACAATCATGCATGTGCTCTTCTGGGGATTGGGGTTCCTACTATTCCCTGATTTCTTGAATGTGGTCGCATCTACGGGGACATTGTTTTTGAATTCAAGCACAGGTAAAGTATGCTCTGACAACCCCCCAGCATTTCCCCCCCCGCATGGAGTAATTTTCTAAAACGGAGGGCGCAGAATGAATGAGTTTTGAATTCAGCCAAGCACATGAGTTGCAGCGCTTTCTAGTACCTAAAGTTCACTGACTGATTATCATTTATATATTTATATTTCCTTGCAATGCTGAAAAAGTGATTTTTTGAGAACGGAGAAATCTATATGCAAACGATATTCTATCGATTAACAGATCTTGGCTGTTTGATTGGTACTGGTGGTATTGGGATTCTTCTTATTCCATAATTGCATTATTATTCTTCTGTCTTTATTCCCCAGTAAAAGAGGAGATCGCCGCTTATGAGATTGTGACACCGGTGCGAGTGAATGAAGCCGGTGACAAGTTTCCAACCAGTGTGCACTTCAAGAGGAAAAGACGAAGTTTGGACGAGAGCACCGGCAATACTACGGATCACTGGGCCTCGCCAAATATCCACTACAGAATATCTGCTTTCGGACAGAATTATCACCTCAACCTCACGCTGGATTCGGGATTTATCGCACCTCTCTATACTGTGACAGTACTTGGAGTACCCAGAGGAGATAACATAACGGATTTTGCAACAGATGGGGAGCTAGAGGAGGAGGAGGAGGAGGAGGAGGACACGGAGTTAAGGCACTGCTTCTATAAGGGACATGTAAATGCACAAGCAGAACATGCCGCGGTCATCAGTTTGTGCTCCGGACTGGTGAGTTTTTACGCACGGTTAGACTCGCCGTGCATGTGATGACTTTACGACCGGGTGTTTTACTTTTCCACCATGGGTATTTAGGGGCCATTATTGCTTATACAAGACTTGAAAAGCTGCCTCACCACTGCCTTAGAAAAAAAAAAAATTACAATTTTGTACTTTTGCGCAAACCTTGCGCCGAACCTGCTTTTTGTATTGATCGTGTAAATATCAAACTTAATCAGTCGCACACTATTGCGTTTTTAAACATGTTTTTTATCTGGGGAAGAATACAAAACTGCGCATGCTCCAGTGAAGAATAAAAAGTTGTATATTTTGGTCACAATTAAGTGAAGCTGAAGCTGATTTTTAAAACATTTTAAGGAACAACGTTGGGACTAAATTATTAAAGCTTTTATGTGTAGTAAGATCAGGTGCTTCCAGAGACTAAATAATTCAAACTAATGAACTATGCTGACTTGTGAGAGTCCCAAGTCCATTGCCTATGGTCAAGTTTAATGAACGCTCTACCTTACTTCCATGTCTCTCTGTGTTCTCCCGGTTGTCGGTGACGTCTTTACGCACGCCAGTATGGGTGGTACTGACGTCATCACAAATTGGTCCCACTCCAAGGCTAGCTGAAGCATGAGTTTTGGAGGGGAGCAAAAGTGCACGTTGAGTGAGGTGACAGATATGAGTAAAGGGCAAATTTGTTCCCAAATGATAAATCAAATAAACAATGCTCTGAAAGCTCCGCTCTATAGAGCGCTTTAGGGAGTTAAGCTGACATTTATGGAGCATCTTACATTATTTATTCAAGACCTCTGAGGGCACATTCATTCTAAAACAGGCAGTACTGCTGGTGGCCACAATTGCGTTTTATTTCTGTGCATCCTAAAATAATGCACTTGTTTTCTTGCAGGGAAACTCAGATGAGATTCCCTTTTGCCCTGCCAGCTCCCAGGTCAATCAAAGTGCAGTTCCTAGCACCGTTATAGGACTAGTGTCTTGCAGGAAGCTTCTCCTCTTTCCCCTGGCTGAAGAACAGTCCACCCACCTGCAAATTTTTGCACATGCACGAGAATTACATACTTCATACTTTTATTATCAGAGATTATAAATATGACTTGTGCCAAACATAATTGTGCCAAACTTGTATCAGCCCCGACGGCTGCCATGATGATTCTCCACAGCCATTGAGCAACAAGTGAAATGTGCTTGGGTTGGCATGTACCTTATCTAGAACATCGTAGACACACTAAACGTGCCATGTGAAATACACATACACATACAATAACAAGGCTTTCAGTACGCTTGCCAAGAACATACAGTCTCACTGTTTACCTGATTGGCATCGCATATCTCCCTATTATCCCTTTCCTCCTGTTTTAAGACCATTCTTACATGCATGCAAATTTATGAAAGCCCTTGGGTTTCACCATTGCTTATTTTCTTTAATGAATAGTGCATGAGTCACATTCCTGCTATAAGTGCTATAAATATTTAAGTGAAACATACATTGCATTAGAGTTGTATGGTGGCTCACTGATTTTTTAAACTATATATTCCCCATGGTCCTGTCTGTGTAGATTTTGCAAGTTCTCCCTATGTTTGCACATGTTGTTGCTGAAAAGGAATAAGCATTTACAGACGATGGATGGATGGAGAGTAACTGCTCTGCACTTTTTTCTGCTACCCAGCTTGGCACTTTCAGGTCTCCAGAAGGGGAGTATTTTGTGGAGCCCCTACACAGCTATCAAGGGGAACACTATGAAGAGGAACACACAAAACCTCATGTTGTATACAGGAAGAGTGCACCCAAGAAACAACAGACATCTGGGGAAAACTCAGCTTGTGACACTTCAGGTACGGTGTATTACACGATGGATGTGCATGCATGCAATGTACATAGACAAAGAGTCACAAATATATAAACACACATAGACAACAGAAACATTCATAGATGCAACCTCAGTGCTTCTACACACATGCGTGCAAACACAAACAAGCACATGCACAGCTACTGTATGTGCAACCAGTATTGCACATACAATAGTATACAGTAGAGCACTGAGATGCTCTGCCAATCAGCTGACTTAAATATCTGCCCCAGTCAACCATTACCCAGTGTCTTTCTCGCTAATCAGCATACTGCTGCGTCTGAGCCTGAATGAATGAATGAATGAATGAAGCATGGGCCTCCCAGGAGCTATTTGTGTAGAAAAAACAGTGTGTATGTCGTTGGCTCATTTGCATGTAGGTGGATTTGTGCGTCACTCTGTGCATGTGTTAGGTGACCTTTAAATTTGTTCCCACAGATGTAAGCAGATGTAAACACTGTGTTACCACCAAAGTCTCTGCTATCAGTTGTAACAGGAACCAATTATGTAATAATAACTGAGTTTATTGAGCAGTAATTGTAGTATGGTACTGTAGAATCAAATGAAGCTTATCTGGTTAAAACAAGCAGAGTGTGTTTGGATATTGAGGGAGATTTTGAAAGTCAAAGATTAAAACAAAGAAAATGGCTCTTAAGGGCTGGATTTTTTATTGTGAAATCTTAGACCAATGGGAAATAGAAATAAGGAAAATTATGATTGATTAAATAGCACAATATCGTCAACCATTCAGTTGTTATGTGCTGTTTATTGTGCTATAGTCATAAAATGGCACTATATCATTTGGACATTTTCTCCATGAGTGGGCCACAAACAGAAGCGTAATGACAGAATTAAAGTGAACGTTTGGTGTGAAGCTATCTGGGCTCTCATGTCGTAGCCTGCACAGTGCAGTGCCAACAGCTGCAGCACAGTAGTGACTGAGGAAGCTTTCCAACTCTCACACAGGAAAAATCATTTGGAAGTTCACCCTTGTATCATCCCATCTCAGTTTACTTGCTGAACTTCCTGTTGACTCTTGTACTTCCTCTGCCTCTTTGATAAGAAAGTTGGGTAGACCCACTGCCATGAACATGCAGTGTAAATGGTCTGATAGCAAAGTCATGCCAACTTGAAACTGTCAAATAATCAAACCTATAAGAAATAAATCTGGAAATATTTTCTCTTTGTCTGTTGAACAGCTTTCTGCAGATGTTTGGTTTAACAGTGTATATAAAAGTGTGTGTGTGCTCTCGTCCTTCATATTTTTGTGTGTGTGTGTGTGTTTCTCTTGTGGCCCATTTTGTAATACAGTATGCGTGTGTGATATCATAGCCTGGAGGAACATAAAGTTGACTTAGAGCCATTTTTGGCCAAGAATGATTCATCCTTGTACAAAGTTCCATTGTTACCTTGTAGGTTTTGAAGTAGAGCAAATTGTTCTCCTTTGATCTGAGTCGTAAATAATGTATACTGAAAGTAGATCCACTCTTATGCTGTAATCAGGCTCACTGTTATTTGGGTGGTGATGCACTGCTGGTGGTCCAGAAAGGCTGATTTGCATGTAATGATAAAACAAATTCAGCAGTTTTGCTGCCGTGTCATGATTAAAATCAGACTTAATTCCCCTCAGTGTGGAGAACATTTGCTGCTCAGCTGTTAAACTGCCTTCTTTTGGTGTGTGCACTGCAGTTTGTGCTCCATTTTTTTATGGCAGGGTGCCAGGTTTACCTAGCCTGAACTCTTTGCCCTCCTCTCTCCCCTCTTCTCAAAGAGGAGGGAGAGAGAAATAAAAGGCATTCCAGGCAGTGTTCATTTGTCAACCCACTCTTTGAGCAACAATAAACAAAGGAGAGAAAGAACATATTTTAACAATGCCCACTTGTTCATGCATCTCCACCTTTAAATACATAAACCAAAACTTTAGCTTAATTGTAAACACATTGTCACAGCAAACACTGATTCATACTTTGTTTATGACTGAATGTATTTCCCATCATCCCTCCATCTTTGAATATTTACTCATGCTCCGCTGCTCCTGACTTCTCTCCAGGACACAAACAGAGACATAAGAGACACAAGCTTAAGAAAAGACCGGTGGCTGGGGTGACCGCCGCGTCGAATGCAGCCCCTGTGGTCAGTGCTGGTATATTCAATGACGTGGAGTCACTGAGTGCTGGCCTGGCCAGCGATGCTTTGCTCAGATCAGAGAGCGGCGGTGCTAGCGCTAGACCATCAAATGATAGCAGCGGTGACTCAGGACCTCACAGGAGATCAAAGCGCTTCCTCTCCTACCCGCGCTTCGTTGAAGTCATGCTGGTGGCCGACAGCAAAATGGTGGAGCATCACGGCAGCAACCTACAGCACTACATACTCACATTAATGTCCATAGTAAGTTCTGCTCTGACAATTTGCTTCATTGATGCTAGTAGAGAATGTTTGGTGGGGAGATGGAAGTATGTTTATGTGTCTGTATACTATGCACACAGAAAGTAGCTTCAAGTGTGCATATATGTGCACTAAATATATGTACCTGTTCTCCTGTGCTGTTCGTGCTGCAAGTCAGTCAGCCAGCCTTTTGGAGGAGGGCCGTGGGAGGGAAAAGGGCAGCCTAGGGCAGGGGTAAACACCACTTTCAAACGGCCAGGGGGAAGAGAAGGCAGCTTGAGGTAGAGTCTGCCTGACAGCTTTGATGAATGTTAAAAATAAGCTCAGGTATGTCACATAGACGGCATACTCTCGGCCACTTCAAATACCAGCTTCTGCAGGCCCCTGGGGCCGACAGTCCTCAGGGGGAGGCAGAGATGACCTATATTCTGATCTTGGCAAAGGCTGCCTTCCCCACAGGGGCTCAGGCCATTTTCAACTTGATCTTCCAATCAACCAAATTCCCCGGTACTTGCTTGAAACCGCAGGCAGTCAATGATAGAGTAACCAGTAAATATGTTGTGTCACATTTCAGCTGGGTTAAATTACTGAAAATACTATAACATATTGATCCTAATATTAGCAAATATCATCAAAATGTTCAGAGGTGACTTAATGTTTTGTTTCTTGTATTCAGGTATCTTCCATCTACAAGGACCCCAGCATTGGCAACCTGATTAACATTGTAATTGTAAAGTTAGTCATAATAAACAACGAGCTGGTAAGACTGCCCGTTTGTTTTAATCTCCATACTTGCACACTTGCAACAAGTATGTGGTGTAAATACTTATCAATGAAATCATACCTTCTTATTATTTCTCTTTGTATGTTTCCCAGGATGGTCCAGTCATTTCATTTAATGCACAGACCACTTTAAAGAACTTCTGCATCTGGCAGCAGAGCCAGAACATCCTGGATGATAACCACCATTCCCATCATGACACTGCCATCCTAATCACCAGGTGCAAGAAAAATATCAAGTTGTTTGCTGTGTATGGTATATACAGGTTTTTAGGTCTTTCAAACAACCAAATAACATTGTAGTAAGTATAAATTCTTAGAGAATCAGTTCCATCAAAGGCATAGATCAAATGGGGTCCAGATGCCCGATGAATGGAGCTGCTGAAAATTAACCCAAATAATGAGGGTCCCCTGAAGGTTGGGGAAGTGTTTTGTACAGTTCCATTGACCATGACCCATTATCTGTGTCTTTACCACAGGCAGGACATCTGCAGAGCAAGGGATAAGTGTGACACCTTAGGTAGGTGGAGAAGACTTACAACCATAATCTAATATATGCTGTATGTCAAATGCTAATGATGGTGAATGGGACATTATAATGGTGGACTATAATGGTGAAAACTGAAGTGAGTCTCTTTTTTTTCCTGTTTTTAAGGACTTGCGGAGTTGGGGACGGTGTGTGATCCATACAGGAGCTGCAGCATCAGTGAGGACAATGGACTCAGCACTGCATTCACCATCGCCCATGAACTTGGCCACGTGTAAGCACAGCGTGTTTTTTACTGATTGTTTACCTAAAGTAATGTCACTCTCCTGCTACGTGAAAGTTTTGGCCTCAGTCATAACAATAAATTGCGCTTGTGTAAAATACGCATGTACAATTGCTTCTGTGCATTTCATTGAGATATTAAGATGTTGAATACAAACAAAAGAGGCCAGAGGAAAATTTAATTAAATTTAATCAAGCCTGAATACAGTTCAAGAAGTCTTAATCTCTAAAATTCTTTAATTTGCTATTAAAAATATGTAAGGTCGTATACGTATAAGTCAAACCTTCTCATCGGACCCCTCACTCTGTACTGCAATCACCTTCTTCTTTTAATGGTTCATGAAGCAGCACACTGGCAGCGAGCGATAGTTTAGCAGAGTAGCTGATGTCGAGCACATGAAACAGTAAACAGTTTCATGGAACGGTTAAAACACACTTAAAAACACTCATGGCTGTGGGTGTGTGTGTGTGTGTGTGTGTGTGTGTTTGGAACTCTGACAATGCAGCAGAGGACAAAAGCAGCAAAACGCAGTAGAGACTCTTTTTTTATTACGTGACTATGTTGGTACAAAGTTTTACTAGTGCGGTGGATAGCCTTCAGTGATTTACTCGCCAAACAAAAAACATACCTGTATTTGGCACTTTGGGACCCTGTTGGTAGAGCTTTAAAAGTCAGCAGATGGACTCCAAGGAATGTTGCATATTTGGACAGCACAACAGCCGTACATTCCTTTTCTTTTTCCCACTATTTTCTGATGCTTGTGTGTGTTTCTGATCACAGCTCCTCATTTTTGCCCACCTTTCAACTTGAGAGGAAAAAGAGAAAGAAAAGAGTCACTAAATTGGATTCTCAGAATTTAAGCAAAACCACTAGTTGTTGGCCGCTTCCCGTCAGCAAACTCTGCATTGTCCAGCGTCCTGAGTCAGCCAGAACTTGGGAGGGGTGGGGGTGTTAGCCTTCTACAGTGGAGACTGTTACCAACCGTAACCCCCCCATCATCTCTAACAAATGCTGCTTCTAACAGCCAAACAAAAGGTGTGATTGTTCAATTCCATGTTTATCCGCATCAAGCTGTGACAACCTGCTTGACGACTGCTTAGCCCCTGAGCTCAGTGTTGTATGGTACCTGTCAGGTGGGGAGCTGAGTAGCTCACAGGGAGGGCTGCGTGCAGTGTGGTGCTGTACCTGTCTACCACCAGCCGGGATCCTATTTGTTCACCCTGCAGGAGCTTGAATGCTTCTCTTATACTCACTGTGCTCGGATTTTCACATATACATTTTTCTGCTTTGTCTGGTGTCCCAATGTTACATATGCTGGTTTCCTTCCCAACCCCCCCAGACAGACAGACAATACACACGCTTTTCATTATTTTTTAACTGCAGCATTGAATGGGTTTCTCAAAGCCAATAACACAGTGACAGTAAAAATATTGAATCAATGTTTAGATTTAAAACATGTGGCCAAACAAATTAAACACAGTGAAGCACAAAAAACAACAATTTTTGTGTTTGGAGCCTCGTCTATGTCTGTTTGAGTAACAACAAATTAAAACTTTTATGTCCCAGCCAGAAGAAATATATTGGCATTTATCACCATATTACTGGTTTTTGTTACATTCATCTCAGCCAAACAGTGGCTTTACAGAGCTGTGCATCTGCATGACATGAACTGCAACAAACAGAATTATTACAAGTGAAAGTACTTCTCTTATTAATGAAACGTTTTTATGATACCTTAACTTGTTGTTCTGTTTTCTCTGCTAGGTTCAACATGCCTCATGACGACAGTAACAAGTGTAAGGAGGACGGAGTTAAGATTCAACAACATGTGATGGCTCCCACACTTAACTACAACACAAACCCTTGGATGTGGTCCAAGTGTAGCAGGAAGTACATCACAGAGTTCCTCGAGTATGTCATACTCTTTTCTTGCAACATTCATAGGGGTTAGATTATGTAGAAAATGTTTTATTTTGAACAACTGAAACAGCCTGAAATTAACAGGTCATGCAATGTAGTAAGGAAAAAGTGTACATTTTAACTTGTGAGACTTAATTTTTTCTTTTTTTTTTTTAATAATCCAAATATCCTTTGGAAATGCTCTATGTAAAAAAACTATTACAGAGATTTCACTAATATGTTGCCTTAAATATACAAACACATACACATAGTATGCATGCTTTTCTTCCTACTTTTGGCAGCAAAGGCAGAAATGCCAATAAAATGTCATCATTTCTCTTCTCTTGCAACTGACTGAGAATGAACAGGGATCTCCTACTGTAGAGTAAATGGGATAGTATCTGGAAACTATCCAAAATGCCTTTCCCTAAACCCAACCATCAAATGCTCCCCCAACCCTTGAGATCACCACCACTTACTACATATAGCTGACAGAATATAAACACGTCTGTCAACCCCTACTGTGTGTACAGTAAGGGTTCTATACATGTACAGAAAAATGACCTCTCCGGCTGTACTGAGTGTGTTTTCTGTCTGTTTGTGTCTCTTGTTTTTCCCTTTTTTCTTTAAGTCATTTTATTTTTATTTCTTAATAGCACAGGATATGGTGAGTGCTTGCTTGACGAGCCCGTTTCTAGGCCGTACAGTCTCTCGCAGCAGCTGCCTGGACGGATATACAATGTCAATAAACAGTGTGAATTGATATTTGGGCCGGGAACGCAGGTGTGCCCTTATATGGTAAGTGGAGTTGGTGTGCGTATCTAAACTGTCATGTTGCACACATGGGTCTCTGAGGGAAGCCTCTTGTGTTATGATCATGTGCTGCAGAGGTTCCCAGCTGAGTTTGCTTTATTTAACGACATACTGAAAGGTACAAGCAAACAAAAACAAATGTTATGAATATATAAGACATGATATCGCAGCACTGATAAAGTCTGTTAATGACCCCCTCAAGCACTGTGAAATAGTTTGGCTTATGTTCTCCGCCCATATAGAAAGGTCATGTAAGACACTGAGAAACACCTGGCAAATGGGATCAAACTTACTGTACGGAGTCCCCTTCTGGCATAATGTTTTATAATGTGTGATTAATTGGCTCTCTGCCTATGGGTGTCCATATTTTAACAGAGTTGTCTACAGAAAGGTTATTTAACATGACATGTGTGTTATGTTATGTCTTGCTCTGATTGTCTAACTGTTTTTTTTTCTGGAATCTCAGAGATAATACTGTTTGTGTGTGTGTGTGTGTGTGTGTGTGTGTGTGTGTGTGTGTGTGTGTGTGTGTGTGCGCGTGTGTGTGTTTCTCAGACCCAGTGTCGGAGGCTGTGGTGCACCAGTCCAGAGGGTGCCCAACGGGGCTGCAGGACCCAGCACATGCCATGGGCAGACGGCACTGACTGCTCCCTTGGAAAGGTGAGTGTCATGTGAAAATGAGGACAGATGCTAAGAGGGAGGTGCTGTTAATAAGCAAAAGCCTGGGATGAATGTGTGAAGAGGAAAAAATATGTGAAAGGACTTTAACACATTGGCTTGCCACATTTTCATCCATTACATTAGGGTTTAATACTCATATGGTTCTGGATTATGATCTGACAATTCTCACCGCATTTCCTTGTTTTGATCTTACAAATTTTCCAGTGATACAACCATAAAATTATTCACAGACGTGTTAATCCAGAGCGTAAAATGACAACAAGTTTTGGAAAACTTGCCAAAAGTGAACTCCTCCATTGACACATATGTAAACTCGAGTAATTGAAAATGGCTGCCATGTAAGTAGGTGGTGTGAAGTTGTAAATGATTAAATTATGTAGGTTTCTTCACAACTGCCTTAGTTAAGCTTTTAATTATGACTTTCTCACTAACCCCTCACTTCCTGCTGCTAAGACTAAAAACATGAAAGCCACGCACACACACACACACACACACACACACACACACACACACACACACACACACACACACACACACACACACACACACACACACGTTGAATCCTTTTCATGTTTACACCAACATCTCCTCATCCCATGCCATACCAGTGTGCACCACATTAAACACTTAAACTGCAGTCTGTTTGATAAACAGTGTAAGATTATCCTCCTGGTATAAGCTGAGGCATATTTATTGACTATGTGCGTGATGTTTTCTTGTCTTCTGTCCAGCCAGACCCAGCCGTGAAATGTCTTTTTTGGTTCCTCTTTTTCCCATTTGCTTCACTGTATAATTTCTCCCAGATTAGCATCAAAGCACGAGAGAGCAGATAGATGTGTTGCCAGTTCCATGGATAAGATTTCATGTGCTCACTCTGTCTGTTCCTCGCCCTTCTTGACCTTCTCTGTCTTACTCCTATTTTTCTTTCCCTCACTGACCTCATTCTCTCCCTCTGCTCCTATTCTTTCATTTATCTGACTTCTGTCTTTTCTGTGTATCTCTCATTGCAGCACTGCAAACACGGCCTGTGTATAGCCAAAGAGCATGACGCCACACCTGTGGAGGGGGCGTGGGGAGTTTGGAGTCCTTTTGGTACCTGTTCGAGGACATGCGGCGGGGGCATCAAGATTGCCGTGCGCGAATGCAACCGACCCGTGTGAGCAGTCCGTCTCTTTGTAGTCATGCATGCCTACTGGACCTTGTCTCCATCTTAGCTGCCAAACTCAATGTTGCATAGATCAAGCCTCCTTAAGGGAATTCTTTCCATAGCTAGTGTTCATCAAGACAGGCCGTCTGATGGCAGATCTTACAGAGTTGTTTCCTGGTAAATAAAAAGATCAGAGTCTCCTTGAAGTCATTCATCATGGTTTAAAGGACAGATATAAAAGAATGGGGTATGATGCGAATGAGTTTGAAACTGAAAACAATGCCACTGACATACTGTAGGCGTGTGATGGTGGGCAGTAAGGCGAAAAGGAAAATGGGCAATGTTTTAATCTGTAGGAGAAAAGTGGGAGGATGCTTACTAAATCTTCTACCTAAGATATTTACTAAATTCAAACAATGATTGTTCCATTCATTTCCTCAATCTTGCTTCCAGGCCAAGGAATGGAGGAATGTATTGTGTGGGACGCAGAATGAAGTTTCGTTCCTGTAACTCTGAGCCGTGCTCAAAGCAGAAGAAGGACTTCAGGGAGGAGCAATGTGCGGCTTTCGATGGCAGGCATTTCAACATCAACGGTCTACCTCCTAATGTTCGCTGGGTGCCCAAGTACAGCGGAAGTAAGAATCTTTTTTTCTGCTTGTTCCTTTTGTCAACCGTGTTTCACTCATGCATTGACATCTATTGGTATTAAGTTTTTGTCTCTGTCTCCTCTCTCAGTCCTAATGAAAGACAGGTGTAAGCTGTTCTGCAGGGTGGCAGGCAGCACGGCCTACTATCAGCTCAGGGACAGGGTTATTGATGGCACACCGTGTGGACCCGATACCAACGACATCTGTGTCCAGGGCCTGTGCCGGGTAAGGTTCTTATTAACTTTAAACATTCAGCTGCATGGTTCAAATGCATATGTGTAGTTCATTTTGTTATCATGGCTATAGCTTCTTACAGTGACCATTCTTGCACAGTTACTGTGTGGAGCAGATATAATCATTTCTATATTTTTAGACGATTTCCATCCTTTGCCAAACCAGACTGTTTGTTGCCTCAAACCTGTGACAGATTGAGTTTTAGTTTGAAAGCTTGATTACTAACATACTATACACATCAATATTCTGCTTGAAAGAAGCAGTGGGTTGTTCTGTGTACACTTGAAACCACACACAGTGTTTTGGTTAGATTGTGGTTCAGTAAGTTGCCTTCCTGGCCTTGGCAAGTGGATTTTGATCCATGCTGTGGCATTAAAGCTAAGCTCTTCATCCCTTCATAGAAAATCAAAGATGTCTCTTGCTATAACCAATTACAAGCAGACCAGCTCATGTCATTTCCAGTGTGGTTTCTGAAGGAAATGTATTTCAGATGGGTGTCAGTGATATGGATACAACTCAAAGTTTTTATGCAACTATTTTAAGGGTCACTGGGTTTGATTCTTTCTTTCATGATCTGCATTTCATCAGTAAATAAACAAGTAATGGCCAAGCAGAAGACATGTTAACATTGCTATGTTGAATTCCTGCCAAGTAACTGGAATTAAAGAGTGTTGGCTGAAGAAAGTCTTTATTTTCTTCTGAAAAAATCAGTCTGATCCCTGTTTACACACATCCTTTATCCTCCATCCTCTCATGCTTTTAGAACTTCTCTTCCACTTTCTCTCATTTGTACCTTTTTCCTGCTACCTTTTATTTTAATCCAGGCATTTCCTTATTTTATTTTTGCTTTATCCCTCCCATATACCTATTTACTGAGCAGCAAGCCGGCTGTGACCATGTATTGAACTCTAAAGCCAGGAGGGACAAGTGTGGTGTGTGCGGAGGTGACAACTCTTCCTGCAAAACTGTGGCAGGCACCTTCAACATTGTCCGCTATGGTGAGCTACAGCCTCTTTCATTATAGTATCATTTCACTTTCAGTGAGTATAAACGTCAGCAGCTCATGTTATATTGCATCAACATATTTTTACATGTACTTAGTCGCCAGACTGAATAGCACTAAGGGAATGGCTCATTTGTCAGCGTAAGCACAGAACTCACTATACTAATGATCTAAACCCACTATTGATGTCATTTGCAGGCTATAATGAAGTTGTGCGAATACCCAGTGGTGCTACAAATATAGATGTGCGTCAACACAGCTACTCAGGGAAACCGGAGGATGACAACTACCTCGGTAAGACATCCAACATTTTGTTTAAAATAAACTACTGTTAATATTTTCATTGTATTTCTACATTTGAGTTAATACAGTTTTCACTCATTTCAGAAGCAATGTGTGGTTGAAGGCGTCTACTTTGGCCTGCATGTTTTGTTTTGTCTGTGTGCCTGACCGTCTATGTGAATGACGGTGTTCAGCTTTAAGTGTAAAGTCATGTACTGAAGACCTGAGGTCTTGGCATATAGTGTGCATGCTAACATGTTAATGAGCCAGAACTAGGCCTGTGGGTACCATTCCTGCAAGGTCAGTTGGTTTATAAGCATTTGGGTCTCGAGCGTGTAAATGTGCTGGTATATATTTTCTTTGGTTCTACAAATGTGTGTCTTTCTGTACCATATGCCTGTCTGTCAGCCTGGATATGGCTGCTTTGTCTGCTTTTAGTGTACATGTCTTGTTGGCACAAGCGTGCTAATACCTGAGCTCAGATAGCCCTCTGGCTACCATTCCATCAAGGTCAACAAGTGTGGGTCTGCATGTGTGGTGTGTAAATGTCTGCATATTGCTGTTGTCATTGTTGTGTGTGTTTTGTTATGAGTGTGTGTGTGTGTGTGTGTGTGTGTGTGTGTGTGTGTGTGTGTTTGCCTGTATGCTTGATTATATGTCAGCGTGCAAACTTTTGAACATGGTTTTTCAGTTCAGTCATCCTTTTATTGCATGTGTGTATTTATATGTATTTGTTTATTGGCACAGTCATTAGGGGCCCAAAGTGGAGATGATTTTGCCGGAATGCTCTCCGCGGTCATATTAGTGTAATGTGTGAAATGACGAGGAAAGTAAAGGCAGGAAATTAGCTCCATAATCGCATTAGGGTGAATGAGTGCAGCAGACTGGCTGTTGAGCAGAACAGGACGCCCCTGGATGGGACTTCTCCAGGAATGGAGGATTATTTTACCCCATAAGGCTTTACTGCTGCCTACTGCATGTGCTTTACTGCAAATGAAAACATTAGCCACAGTGTTACTGAACTGCACATGCAAAAGCAAGATTTCTTCTTTTTCTTTTCTTCTGTAGCTAGTTAGTGTCATAAGAACAATAACTTTCTGCAGTTGTCTTGTGCCAATTAAGCAAAGATAGTTTGAACTTAAATCGAGTATGGCTCATTCTGGCTCTATGTGTCAGTGGGATCAAGCACAGTGAGTGAGTGTTGTTTTCTGTCTCCCTGCAGCCATATCAAATAGCCGTGGAGAGTTCCTGCTTAATGGAGAGTTTGTGGTCAGCATGTTCAAAAGGGAAATCAAAGTAGGAAGTGCTGTCATCGAATACAGTGGTTCTGACCATGTCATTGAGAGAATCAACTGTACTGACCGCATCGAGGAGGAGATCATTGTCCAGGTAAACCTGTCCTTGCAGGTGAAGCAAAACTAAACTGGTTTAGAAGCAGTGGCGTGAGTGAAACTTGTGCCACTCGCACTCTTTCAATGCAGGAACTTAAATGCTTCTACAGGGATGACTTCCAAAAGTTTCTACTTTTACCTTTGAAAGTATGTGGACAATCCATAATGTTAAAAACCCATATTCTGACTGTATTATAATGCATTGCCATCACATTGCCTGCATTTTCCCCAGGTGCTGTCTGTGGGGAACCTTTACAACCCAGATGTCAGGTACTCTTTTAACATCCCCATAGAGGACAAACCTCAGCAGTTCTTCTGGGATGCCTATGGGCCCTGGCAGGAGTGCAGTCGCCTGTGCCAAGGTGAGTGGGAGGCACAAGAGCTTGGCACAGTGAGGTGATGGGAGTGGTCAGTGATAAATGGTGTGGTGAGCGTAAAGATGAGTTGGAACAGGGAGAGGAGACGTGGGAACCACTGAGCCAGAGGCATAGGAGAGAGAGGATTGTCTGGCTAAACTTGACAGGTTCATGTTAGACATATAGGTTTGGAACAAGTGATAAAAGTTAGAGTTCATAGTATGCTGCTGTGGCAGGTTACCTTCTTTGGCATGACTCTAGATATGTCGGAGTATGTGGGCGTGCAGAGGCGGATTGCAGGTAAACTCGAAAACCTGTTATGTTATGACTTGCTTTTTCTCAGAGTTTCTTTCTCTACTGTTTGACACTGTTCTGCTTAAACAACCAACAGTAAATTCCAAAGTGAAACCAATGAATTCACACAGCAGGATAAACAGCAAACATGTAATGCCCTCAGTGGCTTTTGATTTTTTTCGATTTATACAGCTTTTTTTGGCAGTCTGGGACACACTAAGCTCTCACAGCACTGAGCTGCAAAACTTGGTAACATGAGGTACTGATAGAGACTCTATTTCCTGGAGCCACATGAGGTTTAAATCTCTCTCCCCTACTGTATAGTTTGTGCACTGTGATTCAGTGCAGAGATGACAACACAAGACCCAAGGTGAAGCACACACACATTGCTGCCGGTATTCGTTGTGACCCTACGATGATCTATATTGTACTCGGGCAAGCTGTTGTGTCGACTCAGTTAACTACTTGCAGGATCTTACAGAAGCTGAGGTCAGGCAGTGGAAGGTAGTGGATTTTAATTTACGGGTGAAGTTATGAAACCCTAGATTGTAACAGTAGTCGTGAATTTTGCACACATGTCTTTCTCATCAAAGAACAACATACAAAGGGAGCAAAATAAGTTCTCTTTATTTAAAAGCGGCTTTTAGCCTAAATATTTTGTTTACTTTGGAACTATAAGAGAGACTTTTGACTTTTTAAATATACCTGCTGTCCAAACTTACATCATTGTGTCTTCATAGGAGAGCGCAAGCGGAAGATTCTCTGTAGTAGAGAGTCAGACAGGGTGGTGGTGTCAGACCAGAGGTGTCACGGTGCAGCTAGACCTGCTGTCATCACTGAGCCATGCAACACTGAATGTGAACTCAGGTTTGTACCAGTTAAATCAACTTTTAGTACCTATATGAACTGATTCATGTAGGTACTAAAAGTCTTTCTTCACTCAGTCACTTAAAAACACTGACAAGGATTTGCTCTATCACCCTTGATGCAGGTGGCATGTGGCTCGTAAGAGTGAGTGCACAGCCCAGTGTGGCCTGGGATATCGTACCCTGGAGATATACTGCGCCAAAATCAGCCGTACAGATGGCAAGACCCAGAAGGTTGACGACCGCTACTGTAGCGGTCAGCACAAACCTGATGATAAGGAAGGTTGCCATGGGGACTGTAACCCGGGTGGCTGGGAGTACTCGCCTTGGTCAGAGGTAAGATTGTTGTAGTAAGCGTGGGGAGTTTGTATGTGAGCATAATCCAGATGTTTTGTCAAAGTTTATCATGGGTTGTATATATGTGTTTACACTTGCTGATGTTCAAACATTTGTACCACAGTGCTCCAAGAGCTGTGGTGGGGGCACCCGCCGTAGAGGGGCAGTGTGTCGAAAGGCAGCCGAGGCTGGTGGTGATGAAAGCAAATGCAGTCAAAGGGACAAGCTGACCGTCCAACCCTGCAATGAATTCCTCTGTCCACAATGGAAGACTGGCGACTGGTCTGAGGTCAGTTCAGCTCTAATTGGATTTTCTTTACCCTTAGAGGAAGACCAGTCCGATATTTACTGGACAGATACGGTGTTCCATATAAGGGAAGTAAATTGATTGAGGAGATTATAGCGAAAACATGTATAAATATTTCCTCTTTAATTTGCAATCATATACACAGAAAACATTGCAAGGAATGATGACCATGTCATATATGAGCTTCAATTGTGGTATACAGTGACATAAGGCTTGGAGATTTATCTGTGAAGAAGACCTCCCAGTGCTTATGTAGCCGAGTTTAGTCAATGTATAGAGAAACAGACTATGCTGTAAATACTGTAGTTTTAAGCCAGGAGTGATCTGGGTCAAATATAAAATCCCAGTGTTGATTGTGCATGTCTCAGCTTTGGGAGAGTCACTCCCTCCTTCCACTGTAGTGAGTGTTGGGAAATCTGTGATTGCAGGGTAAGATCGTACTTAACTACTGTACAGTTTACACATTGTAGAGCGAGGTGCTTGCAAAGCTTTGGGCTGCATTCCAGGAATATTTCAAATCTCCCATGTGGTGCTGCTAAATACAAACACCTACACTGCACTGTATACATATGCACTGTACTCACACATAAATAAACACTCTTGCCCTGTCTTTTGGTCCCTTCCAACCGCCATTTGTTCTGTAATCTGCATATCCTGCTTTCCACGACACCAAGTGATCTTCCTCTGTCATGAACTGGAATTCCAGCAAACTCAATGCCTGGTAACAACCAGTGCTAATGTAATATTTTGTATTTATATCTATCGCTGATGAAATATTCTCCTTCCAGTGCCTCGTTACGTGTGGGAAAGGCTATAAACACCGTCAGACCTGGTGCCAGTTTGGTGAGGACCGTTTAGACGACGGCTTTTGTGGCTCATCTAAACCTGAGTCTGTGCAGACGTGCCAGCAGCAGGAGTGTGCCTCTTGGCAGGTCGGACCTTGGGGACAGGTGAGTGTTAATAGTGTATAGTGTACACTAGACTTTGTTCAAACACAAAACACAAATGATCAAAAGAGTAATTTGTGGGGAAAGAAGTAAGGTGCTGATGCAGTGCAAGCATCCCTACATAATGTGGTAAATAATCAATTTATGTTCCAGCACAGGTGAAACAGCAGATCACTAAATTTAGTCTGTGATTGGAAATTGCACTGTTAGCTTTATAGAAACATAAAATTTGCCAGTTGACTGCATGAGATACAACAATCTGAATCATGTACATGTACATGTATTGTTCATCTGTGCTTTATATGAGTCTTCATATCAGAAAACAAAGTGCTGTTTTATTTCAATGGTATTTAGGGGCTACTCCAGACAGCTTGATAAACAGTCACTGCTTTCATATATAGTAATATAGAAGTCTACCCAGTTGATGGGAAGCAGCACAGAGGCTGACATTTACAATTACTGTTGCTTCTCTGATGAATTCTCTCCAGATGTAGACCAAGGGGAGGACAGATAAGCTAAGCTCATCATTTAGCACTGTCCCCTTTTCTCTCGCCTGTTTAGACACAGAGCACATCCTGCCAAAATAAATATACAAAAGCTATGGATGATCTAGGCATGTTCTTTTACAACAGCATCATATAGGGTTATGCATACAACATATAGTGTCTGTGTGTGTCTGTGTTTGCAGGCTCAGTCTCATTCGTGTGTGTGCACAGAGAACTGAAAAAATGTGAGATATTTTTGTGCCCCCCATCAGGGGATGTGCGCACGTTAAGGTATATTTGAAGTCATTTAATGAAGCGTGGTCAAATGGTAGTTGAAGTTGCCGCCACACAAGTTTGACCCTGTTTTATTGGAGGCAGTGAGGCAGAAGAAAGAGTGGGGTAGTACCCTCTGACTTGGCTACAGTGGAAAAAAGACAAGCGCAATGTATATGAAAATGGTTCCTCCTGTATTTGATCTGTATTTGGATCTTAGTAAGTGTGTGAGGGGAGCAGAGTGATAATATAAGCCTTTTTATGTGCTAAGGTGGGTTTACAGTTTTTTTATTTATTTGTGTGTTCAGATGAACCGTCTGCTTTTTTGCTTGCCTTCTTTGTCTTTTTCTTCGTTTTCTCTTTGGCTCACAGTAATGCAACCCACCCCCACCTTTTTTTCCCTCTTTGAACCCAGTGCACTACCTCGTGTGGGCCAGGCTACCAGATGCGAGCAGTGAAGTGTGTGGTTGGCTCTTATGGTGCTGTTATGGATGACACTGAATGTAATGCTGCCACACGACCCACTGATACCCAGGTAAGGAGGACTTCCTTCCTTGCATCTCTCTCTCTCTCTCTCTCTCTCTCTCTCTCTCTGTCTCTCTCTCTGTCCAGTGTCTTTCTTTTACTTCGCTCAACTGCTCACAACCTCTCTATCTCTTCCTCACTGTGAGAGCAACAGTTGTTCCACGGTTGAGTCTCAAACCTATTCATACTGTGAGAGAAGGAAGCATCCATGTTCATGCACACTGACAAACACACACATTTCAATTCCACCTGGTCTCAATAAAGCTATGTTGTCTGATCTAGTCTGGTTTAGAGGGAAAGACAGAAGGGAAGGTTATACCGGCCTCACTAACCCCACATAGAGACACACAACTCTCTGACAGAATCCCCTAAAGAAAGCCCAGATGTTGAAAGATGACCTTACAGTGTTAGTCTTCAGAATACTTTTATCTTCATTATGTAAGAGACACAAAAGGCAGAACTCATGTTTGTCTTTACGTGTATTTACTCACCTTCCCAATGCCGTCATCCCTTAGTTGTGACAGCTGATCTTTGACTCTTGACCCTTGACTACAGATCTAAACAAATCGTAATTTACAGAAATCTAGTTAGATTCAATGGACGTTCTTCAAATGACCAATTACTAATATTTAAAGCTGGCTAGTTAAAAAGCGATGCATAATTTTCTAATATTTTAATATCTCCTCTATTCAGAAAGTATTTCATTCACTTAGGTTTAGATGTGGAATTGTTTGTGTTGTCTAAATTTGTATATGTTTTTAAGTGTGCCACACACAAAGAGACTCAGAAGTACCAAATAAAGCTATTTTGAGCTGAATAAGAGTTGTGTTTGTTTAGCGTGGGGCGTAAACCCATTTCAGAGGGCTGAGCATGCACACTCAGGATGAGGCCCCCCTCTAGTCGCAGTGGCTCTTAATTCCGGTGCCTGGGCCGGCAGAGCCAGTGACCCTGAAGCAGTCGCCCCACCTTGTTGTGATTCTAACCAGCCAGCCATGAAGTGGGCCACCATGCTGCCAGTCCCACCACCACCAGCCACCAAGCAGGGCTTAGAAAAAGAGGGACAGAAAGGTGGATGGAGGTCTGAGTACAAGGAGGAGAGAGGTGGAGGCAAGGGATGCCTTGCTCGAGATTTCCACACACAGTTTGGATGTAGGATCAGCAGTTAATGTAACAGTTATATCACTGCTTGGGCCTATTATATAATTTGTAAAAGCCATACACCATCACAAAATCTGTCATATTTATCAGTTTGTACAGTTTGTAAAATGTGAGTCTGACAGGAAGTGTGCGTAGAACTACCTTAAGCACTGACTTCAAGAGTATTTGCTTCCGTTAGGAGGAGTGTGGAATGTGGAGCCTGCTCAGAGCCTGTGCAACCTGATTAAGGCCCTCATTCCTAGAGACTGGGGGTCAGAGGGCACCAGAGGGCATGGGGGAAAAAAGAGGAAGGGGCGGAAGGTGAGGGACAAGGGGGTGGATTAGGGGTGGAGTTTACAACCACGCCAGCATGGGCATTGGAGCCCTGAATACCACTCCACTATGACCTGTTATGACAGGGATCAGGGCTTTATGCTGAGTGGCTTACTGCCACAATCCATAGTTTGAACTGAGGGGGGGACCTTGTTAATGTTGTTTTGGTAAGGTGGGGGAGAGAGTTGATGGGAAACACAACTACTCTCAAACATAGAGCTGAAGGAATATAGTTTAAGTAGTTAATGACTGCCCCATGTCAGAGGAGCTATCTCTGATATTCATGGTATTTCGTGGTCAGGGACAGATGTTGTTACAGTATATTCATTTTGTTAATCACTGCATGAATGGGTGTATGTGTCCTCCCTTCCACAGGACTGTGAACTGGCCCAGTGTCCCAGCAGCCACCCTGTTCCCCCAGGGACCAAAGTCCCCTCTCACCAGGGCCACAAAACTCAGTGGCGGTTTGGTTCCTGGACCCAGGTTGGTTGTTCTGCCACACCTTCAACCTGTGTGCCTTTTTGTTGGTTTCCAGCTTATTAACCTCTCTCCTCTGCACCACAGTGTAGTGCCAGCTGTGGCAAAGGGACCCGGATGCGCTACGTGAGTTGCCGTGACAACCAGGGTGGTGTGGCAGATGAGTCGGCGTGCGCGCACCTACCGAAGCCACCTGCCAGAGAAGTGTGCTCAGTAGTGGCCTGTGGACAGTGGAAAGTGCTGGAATGGACAGTGGTAAGAACCCCCCCCCCTTCATTATTATGTATCAGACCCAGTTGGCACACATTATCTCAAAATTACAGTGTTAAGCAGCTGCACCTAAATTTATGTAAGCTCACCATATTTGTGGAGGTAAGTCTGAAATAAGTGGAAATTTGGAAAATAGTTTTTCTGCATTTTCCATCAGGTCTGCATCTCATTATGCTGAGAGACAGCACTGTTGATTAACCAAAATAATGTGTCATCAATATTGCGCTCCAGATGTTTTTCTTCCAGCAAGGTTTGTTTATTTCACTTTACTCCAGATGATTTTCACCCTACACTCACAATTAGTGTCTGCACACGCTATGTAGATATGTGAGCAAAGATGTGGAGACAGGGTGGCAGCTGGGAGACAAGTGTGTATCAAGGTCTGGAGGAGGGCTGGAATGAGGCTAGAGACGGAGTGTGTATCTGTGTGAGAGAGAGCCAGAGAGTGAATTTGAGTGAGGCACAAGTTTCTGGAGCTGGGAGATGCAAGGGGCTGCAGTGAGGGGCTCCAGTCTTGTTTACAGATGTTTCTCATCAGAGTCCTGGTGATACAGTACAGCCAGACTGCAGGTCTGGTCACCATACACACACCCACACACACACACACACACACACACACACACACACACACACACACACACACACACACACACACACACACACACACACACACACACATCCATGCACACCCACACATGTACCACCAAGCCAAAGACACTCATTGAACCCCCCAAAGAAAATAGTTCATCCCAAGGCCAAAAAAGATTTCAGAGCCCTATTCCAGCCACACACACACACATACACACCCACACTTTCTAACGTGAAGCAAAATAGCCTTCTTAATCTTGTAGTGACAGACCACTCCAATATGACAGAGGTTTGTTATTGTTCTCATGGCATGTAGAGCCTACATAATGTTATCCAACAGCCTCATTTAGTATCACATCATGTACATTGACATATTGTATGTAAAACCTTACAGTATCTAAAATCATGTGAAATCCATAACATGGTGACAGAGCAGTGTAAACTTCTGGACAGTGTAATCCCAGGCAGGGTTTTAAAGTTGACAGCTGTTACAGAAGAATAATAGATCACTTTATGCAAGACAGAAAGTAGACTCTGCTGTGGAGGAGCTGAGTGAGATGCCATTAGTGCTTGGTGTGCGCTGCCTTGCGTTATTTTTCTGAAAAGAAAGATGTGTACTTGGTATCTTTAAAGATTTACTGCATGGTCAGCCAGGGCCATTTGCTTAGTCAGGCTTGCTTTAAGTTGGTGTTGGACTATACGCCATATTAGCCTTGTCATTTTTGTTAGTGAGTTTTTTAAGGCCCAGCCAAGGAGTAGAGGTTTCCACTTTGGTGCTATCTGTATGTAGTTGACATAGTTCTGCTGGTCGCCACCCTTGGGCCGAGTGTCAGCTGGAAATGGGGTCGACGCCTCCATAACTATTGGTAGTTGGTGCCCCCCAGCGAAAGGCTTTAAGTATCTTTGGGTCTTGAGATCTACAGTTGGATGTATGCAGCAGCTGCTGTCATTATGGCACTGTTCTGGACCATCACAGGGAAAAGAAAAGATGAGTGTGAAAGTGAAGCTCTTCACTTCCCAAGCGAGTGGTCACAAATGTTGATTTGTGGCAGAAAAGATGAGATCAAATACACATGGCTCAAACTATTTTCTGTTGCAAGATCTTTTAATATCTGAAAAGGATGAAGAAAAAAGAAAATGTCAGCAAAAATTACAGGCCCTTGAGCCCACTCGCTCATCAATATAGAAATATATAATGTATACATTAGAAGGCACTCTCGCCTTTATTATCATTTCTAACCCCCTAGTTGTTACAGCAATCCATGTTCATACTGTTATTTCAAAGTTGTCAAATGTTTGTAAAAATCTGTTTAAAGAGCCAATTCTGATGACCCATGTTGAGCCATTCGTACAAATAATAGGTTGGTATGATTGCTCATCTTTTACTTCACACCATGTAATAATTACTGAAATTTCAAGTGTGTGTTTGTATGTCTATGTTTGTTTAACATCTAGATGCACATGAGCATAATGCACCCCCTTTGTGTTTTCAGTGCTCAGTAACCTGCGGCCAGGGGAAGACGACGCGGCAGGTACTGTGCGTCAACTTCAGTGACCAAGAAGTGAATGCTAGTGAGTGTGACCCAGACGATCGTCCTACCACAGAGCAGGACTGTGCTATGTCTCAATGCCCGTCCCGCTCCAGTGAGACCCGACCTTTCCCGTCCTCACCAAATGCCAGTGCCAGGAACAACCTGCCTCGTAGCCAATCCCACCAATGGCGGACTGGACCCTGGGGCGCGGTGAGGAATTACATCACAGTGGTCAACAAACCATTTCTCTGGGGCCTGACATTTGAAATATTGTGCTTGATCTTGTGCAGCCAACCCCTCAGCTCAAACAATAGAAGTCTGGAGAAAATGATAGCAAGGGGGAAAATGAGACAGTTGAGGAGCTGAGGCGGTCTGAAATGGCTATTTTTTATAATGATCCCACCATCAGGAAACTATTTTTCTACACAAGGAACTGCTAAAGGCCACTCTTTTGACACACGTAATTGTACCATGTAAGTTTTCTATTGTTAGTGAGCTAACTGTTAACCTGAAATGCTCTGTCCCAGCAGTAAGACTTCAGTATCACAACGTTTCATACAGTTACTATCTGTGCTGAACCAACTTTTGTGTTAAATGAAGCCCCCTATTGATTCAACCAAGGTTGAATCTACATAGGATTAAAGGAATGGTTTGACATTTTGGGAATTGCGCTTAATCACTTTCTTGCTGAGAGTTAGAGGATTGATACCACTTTCATGTCCGTAAATGTTAAGCTACAACCAGTAGCTGAGTTGCCAGTACCTGGTTTTGTAATGGATTAAACCAATATGTCATAACATTAAAAAGAATGTTAATTATTGAGCTTTGCTTTTTTTTACCTTTGGGCTGAGCCAGGCTAGCCATACCAATATGTTTCCAGTCTTTGTGCTATGCTAAGCTAAGCAGCTTCTGTAGCTTTGTAGTTACCGTAGTTCCAGACAGGAGAGTGGTATAGAGCTGAATATGTGTAGTTCCCTAAATGTCAAACTATTCCTTTAAGATGTCCTAACTAAACTTGTCCTCATATAAAGTATTCCCCCTTGTGTTACAGGGATCTGGGGTGGTTTAAGCACTAATGTAAAGTGAAAAGTCTCGTAATTCCTTAACAGTTTGTGAAGCAGTTATATTTTCCTACAATGCATTTTGTGATGCTGACTTTGACACACGCTCATAAAGTGAGGCTCAGTTCTCCAGGTCCTTTTCTCTTTTTAAGACAAGGCCTTAGCCATTGTGATGTGACTCCACAGGATAGCATAACCTAAGAGCCACAGGCTGTCTCCCCCATGGATTTCTTTCTTTGTATTGTTCATCTGTTTTTTTTAAGAACTGGGTTAGTGATAATCTCTGTCCAAAAATAATTTTGACCTTTAAATAATTCTGGGACGTGATTAAAGCTATTTCTGGTGACTCTTCCTTCCTCTGTCCTGAGGATGTGTATTTTATTATAGCAGCACACATGGCCAGTCTTTTGACATGGGATGGCTCATAGTATTGTTCTGTGAATTTTTGAGTGGGAGCTTTGTGTGCACACAATAGTACACGTACTATAGTGCGCAAGTATTCATTACAACATGGTCTGTGTGTATTTAATCTACTTGTTAATTCTTCTATCTAATCAAAGATACACCGATTTAATACTTTGCAGTAGGCAGTTTTGTGTGTTTTTTACATCATCATGTCTAAATGAAGTATAAATAATATACATACAGTATATACCTAGATAGATTTATAACTATACTCACACACATCTAATTGACAGTGCTTACTCTTCTTTCTCTGTAACAACAGTGCTCCAGCACATGTGCAGGAGGTTTCCAACGGCGTGTAGTAGTGTGCCAGGATGAGAATGGGTACCCTGCCAACAGCTGTGAGGATCGCAGCCGGCCCAGTGAGCAGCGATCCTGTGAGTCAGGGCCATGTCCACAGTGGATCTATGGCAGCTGGGGAGAGGTAAGACAGGCACCACTCTACTGCTCTTTACATCATTACAGCTTACCATGGCTCTTGAGTCTCCTTAACAGATATTGGTCTAGTTTAGAGAGAAAACTGTAAACTCTGGGATGCTTTTTTGTGTTTGATTAATTACTTTGACTGATGTAGAAGTTGCTTAGTGTGGAGGTTTGAAAATGCATTAAAAATCAGCTAATACTCACATTCTCCATGCTTCAAGAAAGAAGTTTTTTCTTCACACTCAAACCTTTTCCCAATACCCATCTGTAAAACACAACCTCTCCTCCTGCTGTCTTCAGTGCACCAAGCCATGTGGAGGTGGAATAAAGACGAGGCAAGTGGTGTGTCAGCGGCCAAACGGCGAGCGTTTCAATGATCTGAGCTGCGAGATCCATGACAAGCCACCAGATCGCGAGCAGTGCAATACTCAGCCGTGCCCGTCTAGCCCCCACTGGATCACAGACCCATGGAGCTCGGTACGCTCATAGAAAATACTCTATACCCTGTTTTTCAACCTCACATTTTTTCAAATGCTTGTAGTCTTACTCTTTCACAAACAGTCTTAAAGGGGCAGAATGACTATGGTGCTTTTGCACTGGAGAAACAACCGCTTCTCTACTTTTACTTTTAACCCCTTCCACTTCCTGCTCCCTCTCTGGTGCCTGCGATTGGTCGACGTTTCCTCAAGACATTCGGAGAGTTAATTTCTGTTGCACTTAAATGGCAAAGATACGCTCACTTGCAATATGCCAAAAAAAAAAAAAAGTACAACATCGCAAAATACTTCAGTGACAGCTGTGACCATAAGAACATTTTTTGTCAGTCCTAGTTACCATAAAACTGTTGTTGAGCCTTGTATTAGTATTTGAAAAATTCAGGACCACTTTGTATCACAATCAAAGTTAGTTTTGTAAAATATTGTTTTTAAAGATAATTTATTAAGATATTTTTTTCCTTTTTATCTTTTGTATATAGCATTAACTTTAAAAAGTGATTTATTTTGTGTCTTAGCTCTTTGTATTCGCACATTTAGCCAATCGTTGCTCATATGCAAATACTGATGAATGTTTTTGTATATCAGGAATATACAGTACGATGCCTTTTTCTTTTATTATCCAAAGAATGGCCCATAATCCCCAAATATGTGGTGCTACACAATGTAGTCGATGTTCTGTTATGAACATTAAAAGCACCAACTTACATAGGGCTGTGTACTATATATACATCTTTGTGCTATATACATCTATGAAATGGCTATTGTATCAAGAATTCAATTTGTCTCAAGGCACATGTGGTTTTTTTAGAGAAGTTACTAATCTTATTTAGACACTTTATTTTACAGTTTATGTATTTACTTTCTGCTATGAAACAAACAGTGGTGTTGCCCCAAAATGACATTGACACTGAAGCATTAATATGTTGGCTCAAAGGTTTCTGAAACGTCCAGTATCAGTAGTAAACACCAGCAAACAGCAGCTGTACTAGCACTGTAAAATAAAGTGTCTCACCGAGTTTGTGATAATTAGAACTAATAGCCATTGTATTCCAGTTTCGCAGAGGGGTTTTGACCCAGATTTCCTTAGTGTGGCCAAAACAATAAGTTTAAATCTCTCTGCTCCAAAGGTGCTTTGATATGAGTGTATTTATATTATGTTAGTTAATGTTTTCTCTGTACAATAAGTACTTGGAGTTGCTAAATATGCTATGCTCAACAATACCTCACTTGGAACAAAACACAACTCAACTAGCCATTAAACGATGATAACCTACACTACAGTGGTGCTTTGGCCAAACAAGGGAGATATAAGATATAAATATCAAAAATGAACCATCGTATTTTTGGTCGATTAGGTGTTTATTGTGGCACATTGCTTTATTGTGCTGCCTTTTTTTTGTACTTTTTATTTCTTTCCATGAGCAGTTAGTGGATTGATCAGATTGATCAGCTAAATGCAAAGTGTATCACAGATTTGATGAAATAATGTTGAATTGTTTTCGAATGTCCATCAAAGAGCTTGCTCAACCTTTAAGAGAATGGGCTGTTAAAATGTCGTACTTTGAACACGTGATACCTGTGACCACAGGGGAAGTTAATAGTGTTTTGTATCCAGAGCTCTTACTCTGAGCCAACCTAATGTGTCTACCTCAGTCTCTGTTTTGATTGCCCCCCTGCCGTATCTTTCTCTCCCTTGCCCTAGAGGGGTTTGGCTGGCTAAGATTAAGCATGAGTTGTTAAGGCTACCCATTGCAGTTGATGGCCCTAAACACAGATCCAGGTTGTATGTCATCTCCCACCTTGTAATGCCTACCATCCTGCTGTGGACAGTGAAAAATGATCTAGAATCTGTGGTTAGGGGCAACTTTTGCCTGCAGCCCACCCAGTTGACTCCTCCTGGTCATAAATGTCTGTACTGACATCACACCTTATTTTAAGGGCCTGTTAACACAGCAGTGAGTACATTTTTTACTACACATCATTTACTAATGAGAACTATCTCTTCTAATGAGTCCCACATGTGATTGTAAGGCAGCATAAAATCAAATGTAGGTTGAATCAGTGAAAGTAGAGCACAGTACTAACACAGTTTTATTTTTCAGTCATAGCAGTTTGACTCCTTGTGGTCAACCTCTGGTTCAAATAGCAGTACAGTTATACACACCATATCAACAGGCTCTTGAAATAAGTATATTGTATGTCTCTTATTCACAAATGGCAGTATTCTGTAGTCTGTGTTTCAAGATTTCTGTACATTTATGTAATTACTTGTATTTATTGTTACTTCATTATAATGTTATGTCAATATTTAATTTTTTTATGGATTTGTTGGATTTCTGTTCATTTCCCAAAAGGTTATGATTAAAGTGAAGTAGAGGTACTATCAAAGGCTTTTTTTCATTCTTATTTGAACAAAACATTCTGGTAACACTGTAGTTTGTAGCCCACAACATACAGCATATTTCTTCCCAGAAATCCAGTGTAATGTTTTGTATTAATGGTGTACCAGTACAGTACAGTACTGATGCATAAATGTAGATGCAAAGCAGCAATATGTGAAGTTAGGAAGTAAGTGGGTAACTATCTGGGAACTTAAAATAAATGTTTGTATTTGTTTGCATATTCTAATATTATAGGGCCCACTGTGACCTACTGAGTAACAAAGCTGAATTTTGGCAGACAATAGGGTAATGAATTCTGTAGCACTGCTGTGATTTTTTTCAGAATTACCATTTACTGCAGACTACATAGTAGTGTAATTTCATCACTTTTAAAGTCAGCCCGTCTCTTCTAACAATAAACTAACAATATGTCCAAAACAGAGCCTACTAATGCCAAAACATAGCTTTCCGCAAAAACTGCTTGTTTTTTACTTGTTTGTGGCTCCAAAGGACGGTCATGCTCATGTACACATCTTGTGCCCTCGTATCCACGTGTGTATGGGTGCGTACTGTACTGGCACCATTAGTATTAAAAAATGTCACTGTAAATGGGAATAATTACGCTGTACATTGTGGTGTGTAATCTAAAGCATTACCAACATTTGTCACTCGCAGTGAGCTGGCCAGAACACTGCAAACTAAGAAAAAGAAAAAAACACAACTTACATAAACTGGTTGTCCAAAAAGGTCTTAAACAAGGATAAGGCTTTAACTCAAGATTACCAACTCCTGCTTTATGGTTATTTCAGTGTGTTTGTGGATAAGGAAGTGTCCTATATTATTTAGTGTGTTTACCTTTGACTTTGGCTCAAAGATTTAAGAAGAGATGCCTGGCTAATAGGTTATAAAGCAGTCCTCCCCGCCAGTCTATTCAACGGGGTGTTTTTCCTGAATGAAAACGCACAAATCACTGAGCAATATCCTTGTTATTTTATGTGATCAGGGCCTCTGCTGACCTCTTTGAGCGACCGTGCTCTTACCGTCAGTGTCAGGAGTTCAAAGCTCTTTCCATCAAGGTAAATCTTTGTCCTGTGTGACAATACCTCAGTATACCTCCCATTTCATTGACTGTGTTCATTCACTCTTAATGCCTACCCTGGCTTTTTCTGGGACGCCTGGTGACGCGTGCTCGACTATGAAGTTGCCAGCGCCCTTTGCCCCTTTCTGTCAGGCCCCTCTACTCTGGTCTAATGCGGGTTGATGACAGTGTACCAAGACAATGCAGTGGTGTATTGGTGGGTCAAGGGTCACGTTTGATCTGGGGAGGGGCCCCTTCCCAGTTTGTCCCGTCAGCACAGACAGACTTCTGGGAAATTGCTGTGATCCCGAGGGCGGGGGGGGGCAAAACCAAGTTGAATAGGATTCCAAAACACTATGCTGACATTGAAAACTGGTGTATTTAGGGGGGTTTCATTTCACATGGTGCTGGTCGATGCTTTGCCTATCTCGATTTTTAAAGCTAAAGTTGTATGATTTGAATTATGTGTTTTGTGTCTGCAATTCTATGCATTGTAATTACCTTTTGAACTGTTTAGAAGTCAGTTCAAACTGACTCGTGATTGACACTGTTTAAATTCCGTGTAGCATTATGGTAAATAGAGCCTGAACCGACAAATCGCTTTACAATTTGCCTCTCATTCACACACACGCACACCGATGGTTACGGAGCTGCCATGCAAGGTGCTGGCCTGCCCATCAGCAGCAACTATGTTCAGTGTCTTGACCAAGGACACTACGATATGTGGACAGGGGGAGCCAGGGATCGAACTACCATCCCTGTGATAAGCGGACGGCCCGCTCTACCTCCTGCAAATAAAACTAAAGCAAAAAGAAACTGTTTATATAGTGTGTTTATTATCCGATGGAGTAGGAAATATTGAGTTTAAGTGTGTGTGTGTGTGTGTGTGTGTGTGTGTGTGAGAAATGATATTTGTATTAGTGAATTGGATACAGAATCCCAGAGAACATATGGGCAAAGTTAATGAACTCCGCATGGGGGGGTTCAAGTACTGATAAAACACATGGTGTTTTAATGTGACCCATTTGCACTGATTCTCAAGGTATTCTGAGGGCATTTCAGCACAGCACACCGGCAGGAAATACCTTGTAAAGAAGTATATAAAACCTTTGAGGAACGACCTGACGATTGATTGCAGTCTGGATTGTAAATGCTTTGTTTTATGATTTTAACCTTTACTGGGAAGCTCAGTTTCCCCTGCAATGACCCACTTGTGTACATCTAAAACTAATGTGTTACTGTATATTGTGTTCATGTCAGGCAACAGCATTAAAAATATGATCTCTGTTGTTGCAGTCAGTGGTGGTATTTGCTGTCAGGAGAACTGTCAGTGACTTATTACATCAATCATGAAGTCAGTTTTACTACTCTATGCAACAATTCATCATAGTAAGCACTATCCCAAAAACACATAAGAAACACAGTGTCATTTTTATTGAAATTTAATGACAATATCCACACAAGAATCACATAATGTTTCTTTATTTCTTGGCAAAAAAACAGCATGAGTTAACTCCAATAAATCTAGCGCATTACAGATCAAATATAGATGTGCCCGGATTTAAAAAGGGGAACAGGCATTTTGTTAGCCCCTCCTTTAATCATACCCGTCCTCCCCACACCCTAAATGAGGTGAGAGGTCACAGCATGTTCCTGTCTAGTACAGTCCCTTGCTGGTCAGGACAGCACCACACACTGGGCCGCGTACCCATTCAACTCTGAGCCTGTCGCTTCCCATCCATCCCCACATGCAACGCCCCTTTGATTATCCGAGCACAGTCCAGCCCTTCTCCACTCCCTCCTTGGTGTGTGTGTGTGTGTGTGTGTCTGCCTGTCACACTGAGTTAGAGTAACTCGGTGAACCCGGAGGTGAAAACAAACTGCTACCGGGGTGATCGGACACGCTTTGCCATTGGACTAGCAACCCACGTGGAACTGTGTCTCTCTCATATCACGTTTTTCTTTTTCTTTTTTTTTTTTGGGGGGGGGTGAGTCAAAAAGATCCACAAATTAAATTTACCTGTTTAATAAATACTTACCTTGATTTTAATTATAATGATTATAATATTTTATCATGCAGATTCAATTAAGCCTGACATTCAACAAATGAAGTGCTTTGTGAAACCCAATCATTTTGTTTGACCTGAATCATGCCGACCAAAAAACAAAACCCTCCCTGACTTTCATTGGTTTGGAGTGTGTACAGTTTTAACACAGAACATACCTTTTGATTTCAACTGAACTCCTTCTTGCAGTGCTCTGCCGCCTGTGGAAGAGGATTCAAGTCCCGTAAAGTGAGCTGCGTGACCGGCTCTGGTCGCCCTGCCTCGGAAGACAACTGCCAGTCTCTGTCCCCCAAACCCAGCAAGCAGAGGCGCTGCCGAGGTGGACGATGTCCCAAGTGGAAGACTGGCAACTGGGGAGAGGTAGGAGTCTTTAACCCTGCTGTAAAACACTCCTACCACTCTTGTTCTCACGATGCTAGACATGTTTTTTTTCTCTCTTTCCACTTTAATGCTTACCAGCCTGCTGGCAACCATGCGCATATGTGTGAAAACATCTGCAGCTAAACCTTATTTAATTATGTATTCACCATGCCAGGCCACTAACTAAGGCAGGGTGCTTTTACACATCACATGGCGGTTGGCTGGTTTGCAGCACAGGCCTACGGTGGCTGCTTACAGGGGTTTTTGAGGTAGTGTATGCAGGAGCTGTGACTACACAGTACAGTCAGTATGACAGCAGGAGGTATGAGCACCCCTCTCTTTCATCTTAACTGATGTTAAGTCCAGCCAATGTAAATCTACCCCTCTCATTTCTATATTTTCTCTTCCTCCGTCCCTCACTTTTCTGTCCTCTCTGTCCCTTTTATCCTCCTTCTCACTGTTGCTCTTTCTCCACTTTTCCACCACTTCTTTTCTTTCAAGCCCTCTTCCACTTTTCCCCTCTCTGTCTTCAGCTTCCCCAATGGGAACCACATGTCAGTCTTTTCTTTGAATGCCCTACTAAAAAGGCAATTCACCCACGTCATCACGCCAGAAACACTCACAACGTACACCTGGACTTCTGGAGAGCCTGTCCGGGGCTTGTTCCTGTTTTCTTTGCCTCCCTTTACTCTCTATGTCTTCTCTCTCTCTTTTCTTGTGTTCTCTTTCTCTGAATTCACCCCACTGGCTAAGAGTCCAAGCACAAGAGCCACATCTGCGCCCCACACGTCAGAGAGGATGTGCGTCTGCTCTAAACAGCTGTGGAGCAGGACACATGCCAGGAGAAAATGATACTCACACACAAGGCTCTTAGTCGGGTATAGTGTGATTACCCATTCTGTAGCAGGCTGCCTAGTAGTTCAATGGTGGTTCATTGGCACATGATAAACAGTGGAATATTTAAAGCTGCATGTAAACTGTGTAACAGACTATATAATGCTGCTGAAGCTCCATCTGGAGATTTGGTTTACCACTTCCTCCTCCCTTAACCTGCAAAAGTATGAGCAGTTGTGATGTCGGTCCCTCTCATATACACAAACAGAGACTCAAACATTGTATCAGTCGTACTCTTGTTATGTACTTTGAAAAACAATACATATATGATCTATTATTATGTATCTACGGTAGTAATGAATTAACATCAGTGCAGTGCAGGTTGTTCAGAATCATCAATCTGTTTCAAAAGAGGAAAGACACAAGATAGTTGTTAATATCCAAATGCATGACTGCAAAGTTTTAAGTTAAAACATTCAATTGTATGCTTTGGTTATATCATGGGATTGTTTTAGTCATCTGGGTTAACATCTAAACAGACCTGGCAGAAAAAACGGATTCTTCATCCCTCTCCCATTCTTTGTGTTTCCTGTAGAAATGTGTTCTGTGTTACAGCCGAAAACCCACACTTTCATTAAAAACATCGCTGCTGGAGCTTAGACACGCTTTCGCAAAATGCATTTTCCAGGCTTCAACTTGAATTTCTTCACATTTCTGTTGGAAAACATCAGCATTAATATAAACCACATAACTTAAATGTAAACGTGGAGGCTTGGTTGCAGTTATTTAAACATATTTCCCACATAGTGCTCAGTAACACGCCATGCCCTGTCTGTAATGCACTTGTATTGTTAAAACTTGGATTGCTTCAGACTTTGGTTAGTAAAGAAAATAAAATTAAAGTATGCATTTACATCAATAAACAACACAATTCTGTATTGAACATGTTTAGAAGGAATGTGAGGATAATTACTTTAAAAGTCAAAACAATCTAATGTGATTGGACACGCATAAAATACAATAAAATACTTATATTAAATAATACATGTAATAATAAATGTAGTGAAGTAGTAATATAGTAGGCTATATAATATGTATATAACACATAATATATGTAAAACAATATGTGTTTTTTATCAAATATATTCCCTTAAATAAATAAATAACTATCTTCATAGCACATAAAGTCAAAGTAAACAAAGTAGAAACCATGAAGTCAAAGTCATTAAACTCTCGAGGCTTATGGCGGTAGTCATAGTATTACAGGAATATTAAGTGATAGGTTGATATGCAGTAAAACAATACACTTTATCGGACAAATGAAGGTCTGATAAAGCTAAAGTTAAAGCTCTTACCTGTCCTGTTTTCCAGTGTTCAGCATCGTGTGGCGACGGCGTCCAGCGACGGGAGGTGTTCTGCCAGGTTGGAGACCGACGGAGCCCGCTGGAGAGCGGCTGCTCCCAGCGCTCCAGACCGGCGTCCAGCCAGAGCTGCCGGGTCGCTGACTGCCCCTCCCGGTACCGGTGGAGAGAAGGAGACTGGCAGACGGTAAGCTGACGAAGCCCTGTACTAATGCCTGTACAGGAAAAAAAGCATTGTAACCTGCGTGCTGAAACAAGAAGTTTCAGCTCTCTGTCTGCAACCGGACGAGGATGATTGGCTCTGTCATATCTGGTGAAGTATGAGCGCTGCTCCCGTCGGAGGCCAGAGGGGAGGAGAGGAGGCGCTGGCCCTGATGAAAATCAGATGATCAGCCTTTTTTCAAACAAGCTGAAGCCTCGTTGTGATGGATACCTCCGGTCTTAATGGCAGCGGCGGATCTACAGACACATTCACGGGGTGGCATGGAGACTTTGAAAAGGGAACAAATATGATATAAAATGAAGATAATCGAACATTATTGTGGCATATTAGTAAAGCATCGAATATAAATATATAAAATTGACATTAGAAATATTTGATTGACATTTGTCTTTTTTCATTGAACTTTGGCCAATCACTTAGTCTATTGAATTGTATGTGTTAATTGCCATTTTTAAACACATTCTTTTTTAAAATAATACTAAATTTGACAGCATTTGACATCAGGCTGGGGTGGTCAGATTTTTTTCAGGGGTGCCAGCTGCCACCCTATGCCACCCCTCTAGATCTGTCCCTGAATGCTGATTGGCTAATTCCCTTTTTTAGAATCAGCTGAAAAGTAAAGTAAAGGCAGCTGTGAGACATGACTGTTCTATCTAAACGTTAACAAGGCTACATGTTGCTCCTTAAAAGCTACATGAACAGCCCAGCTTCTTATTATGAGTGGTCCTGAACACACACATTTCTATCTTTAATACCTGAGGATGCTTGTTTGCTTACTTAATTTAGAATAAAAAAAAGTATTTAATATTTAAATTTATTTTTTAATCATAATGAATATAAGTTTAACAAAAAGTATAGTAAAATCTGCTCTGATAGAGTGGCCTGTTGCTGTATATAAGGCCTCAGTCTTACCCAGGCTATACTTAATGGGCACATTCCTGCTGAGTTACATTTTCTATAAGCTTGAGGCTACAGATCCTTGTTGAGTTTATTAGAACAGGCAGCTGCAACAGGAGCGTCTCCTTCACTGTGTTCTAGTGATGTTGAATCTGGGCCACTGAGCAGCATGAAATGTCTTCTCAGAAAGGAGAGTCTAATTAGTCTGGAGAAGTGTTGGGAGCTCCCTGCCTGAGTGTCCCAATTAACCACTGGAGGTAATTACAACAGTTCAACTGGCAGGGGTTAACATGCCTATGTGTTTTATGCAAATTCAAATTCTTTATTGGCATGAACAAAAAACATGTTGCAAAAGAAGTTTACAATATTCATATTATTCACTCATATTTAATACATAGGTGTCTATGTATCTGTATGTATATCTATACAGTAGATTCTATTTTATATCTTACTGATGCAGTCAGTGCAATGCTTGTCTTGTGCTGGTTGTGTTTTATGCTCTTAGATTTACTTCTTTACATACATAACTTGTTTCTACAGGCTTAACCTATCTGTTAGAATGAAATATGTTCCCTTGTAGCTTTGTCTGCTGTCAACATTACCAAAACATAATGAAACTCAGGTGCCTGTCCTGCAGGGTTAGTTTTATTCCAGCATAGCACAGCAGCAGAGCTCACAATAGCAGTTCCAAGTATTTCAGTTGTTTGACAGTGTTCAACATGTAAGGAGTGATGAAGACCAGCTGGAGTCGGTGCATTTGTTCCACAGAGTGTTTCTGACGCAAGTGGAAGCCCCTCTGAGCCCTTTCAGTGTTTAGGCTTAAATTACGACTCTTGCAAGTTTGAATGTCGTTATTATTGAGTTACTACATGAACCTGGATGTAGTAAGACAGCCAGGTCCAAACTTGCAGTCAGGTAATCTCTTCATCAAAGGACCCCACTTTCATAGCAACTCCATTTAAAACCATTGGCCTGACAAAGTCAAGTGTCTAACCATTTCATTTTAATAGTAGAAGAAATAACTTACTTGCTTTTTTTGACAAGATTTGAATGAGAACATCCCTTATCTGTACATTAAATGTAGACACTAGCTTAGCTTAGCATAAACACTGTAAGAGGGTTGCTTGTTTGTGTAATCTGTAGACATACAGAAAGTTAAAAACTTGTGGCTTTGCTAGAAGTAACCTTTTATATTTTTGTAAAGCTGCAGTTTGTAACATTTAAAAAAATAACTCTTTGTCATATTTGCTGAAACTTTCATTATAACCTGACAGTAGGACATGAGACAGAAGGGTAGCTGACTGTTAAGGTCGTCAAAAACAATGTTTTGGGTCCCTGGGAAGACTCAACAATAAACTTCTTGCAAATGCCATTAGGAAAACTAGGACTTAACTTTTTTCACAGATTATCTGTCTTATGCACTACTGTCAGGGTAGAGAATTTAAAAGTCACCTACTGCAGCTTTAATGGACAAGAAAGAAAATAAGCATATAAAAAAGGTTTAACTATACTTTTATATTTTCATATTCTTGTCTTTTGGAACAGTCTGGATCTTAAGACTTCAGGCAGCTAACTGCTAGTGAATTTCAGCTCTGACCTTTCATCAGACACATTGTTGCCTTGGACTGTAAACAGCTTCAGGAGTTAGAAGTTGTGTAATCTCTTCTCAGGACTTGGCCATGTCCTCAGCTCAGGTTTTTCTGCTCAAGAACACAGAACTTTCCTCCCAGCTCTTATCTACTGTTTTGAGATCTTCATGCTGTAGTCCCATGTGGTGAAGGTGCTGCTTCACAAGAAGACACAAATCTCAGACTGTTCATCCTCGTTCTTGTTTTGCATTGATACCATAAAACTGGTGTTTACTGAGAATCTTTAATTTGAAACATCTTAGTTTCACATACAGCTTCCTGCATTACATATATATTATATATTACCCATAATATAGGAATGTCATACATGATTTGTTATGATCTTTGTGTCTGTCTTTTGTCTGTCCCCACTACAGTGCAGTAAGTCGTGTGGAGCGGGCCACCGACAACGAGCCTTGCAGTGTGTGGACCACAACCAGCAGGAGGTCCATGAGATGTACTGTGTGAACCAGATCAGACCTCCAGAAATAGAGAGCTGTAACATGAATGCCTGTGAGTTAATCTGGATCACAGGGGAATGGACTGAGGTGAGAGCCATTTAAACTATGACGTCCCACAAAAGGCTTTGAAATCTAAATTACGTATAAAAAGGTAATTTTTCTCTGAAAAGGCAATACTTTACTCTTCAAAAAGACCCTTCATGTGAATCACCATCTTCGAAACAAGTGATACGGAAATGACAGAAATCACCCATGTTTCCTGTGTGGAATACTGTTGTTATTTCATGCCAGTGATTTATTCTTTCCTCCAGTGCTCAGCCAGCTGTGGCCAGGGCTACCGCCAGCGTCTGATCTCTTGCAGCGAGGTGCATGTGGAGAATGACAACTATGAGTATGGCCATCAGTCTTTGTCCAACTGCCCCGGGACCCCCCCTGAAAGCTACATGCCTTGTAATTTGGACCCGTGCCCGCCGCAGCAGGAGTGGAGGGTTGGAATCTGGGGACTGGTGAGCGAGTCCGTGGTTTTAAGTGTTGTCCAGTCATTTATCTGTATTTTGTCAAGATGGATCATGCATATTTTTAGTTTGAAACCTTGCGACAGAATGTACTTTAAAAAAAAAAAGGTGGGTAAACAGACGGTGAGGTTAATAAAGGCTAGTTAAACAATCTTCTCTAGTTTTTGTGACTAATTGCAATATTAAAAATATCATCATTGTGACAAATTTCAGTGGGTATAATGCAGTAGATTAGTAAACAGTAACAGTTCATTTATATCACAAAGTACACCTTCATCAACCTGTTTTTATGTGCATTTTAAATTTGTGAATGAGTGGAAACCCCCAGGAAGTATAATATTGCAAAAAAGTTTTCCTTTTACTTTCTTACTTTCGGTTGAGCTGGGAAAGTTGGTGTATCTTTAAAAGAGAAATGTGACAAAGTGCAGTAGAAACAGATTTAGGGAATAAATTGTAATGTAAATGAAGCACGTGACTTAAAAATCTAGTGAAACAATTTAAAATAACAGTAGACAAAAACACGACGACATCGCAACTTTCCTCAAATTAATACATAAGTATTCCAAATAGTTTGTTTGAGGTTTGACTGGTGCTGTTTTAATTACATAATCTTTTCTTCTGTGATGATTTATAGAGAATTAGCAACACCAGTTGTTTATCTCATTGCAGTCAACTGCTAATATTCACATAGGAGATGAAAACATGCATTAAGTAGCATATTCATTTGCACATTTTCTATAAGATTTGTGCTAAATTTGCAAACTTGTCTACAATCGTTAATCTCATGAAGGAGCCATTTATGTCATTTTATACATGAGGGAGGGAGGTTTCCTTTAACATATATGAGACATTAATAACATTGTATATTTGGCTTCAACCAGTGTCATAGCTGATAGGAAAATAATCAGTATTGAAATGACCATAATGTAAACACACACACACACACACACACACATTTTTTTGAATGAGCCACTTTGAAGATAAAAACTGCTGACAGACTGTCATCCACAAGTTTTATTTTCACACTGTCATGGTTCTCTTCCTCCCCTCCAGTGTTCAGTGAGCTGCGGTGATGGAGTGATGGAGAGGACGGTGCAGTGTGTGGCAGCAAATGGTCAGGAAAGCAATAAGTGTTCTCAAGACACCATGCCAGAGGCCAGAAAGGTCTGCAGAAATCCAAGCTGTGAGTACTGCGAGAAAACTGCTGCTCTTTTCACGAAGGTCAAGGCTAGGGGGTTACATAGAGGCCAGCTGAATTCCACTATTAGGTATGGCTTGACTTGATCCGGTCATCTCAGAGATTTGGCCTCTAGTGAAATATTTATGATCCGAGGCAAACTTCAAAGATTCACTGTCCAGTGTATTCACTTCCCTACGGTAGGATTGGACATCAAAGAGTGAGGGGTTTTTCGTTTTCTTTAATTCGATGCAGCGATTTGCCACACTTGACTAAACTCCTGAAATTCTTGTGTGTATGCGTGCACATGTCTGTGTATACAGCCTGAGTACCTGCCCTGTGTTAAATCTTTTTCATAATACACTCCTGCTATAATACACTGCTGTATACTTACTTATTTTTAGTTCTTTTGTGTCTCTAAGGCCATTTGCCATCCAGCTGTCAAGACGTCCAGAGCATTAAAGGCCCCCTCCCAGACAGCGAACACTTTCTCAATATTCAAGGAAAAGCACTCAAGGTACAATTTTATGATCTTATTACCTCACAAATGCACAAAGCACATTTTATAAAGCCATGACTGGGTTTTAGTTATGAGGGGAGAGGGACAGTTGAAAAGTAGGCCTTCGTGCCTTCTCCCTTGACATTTCAGATGACTTAAACACTGACAGGATATTTTGCTGCATTTATGTGCTTGTGTGACTGTGTATGGGCCTGTATTACAATACAAAATGCTTATAATTCATCTTTCCCAGCTTGTGTTTAGGCATAAGTTTGGGGCTCTGGCTTGGTGTACAAGATCACAAATAGACAGAGTCAGTCAGAGGAAATTCTTCTCCTGTGTTTGTTGGGGCTTGTAACTGCCATCGTAACATCCTCTACTCTACTCCTTTTCCTCACCTCCTCATCACCATTATTGTCTTTCCTTTTCTATTCTGCACTTCTTCTCTACTTTCCTATTTTCTCTCTACCGTCCTACCACCTGCATCCATTTCCTTCACCCTTGGTGCCCTACTCCTCCTCCCTCTGGTTACCAACTCTCCTTTCCCTCCTCCTCCTCCTTCTCTCCTCAGGTCTACTGTGCAGGAATGCAGACGGAGACTCCACAGGAGTATATCACCTTGACGACGGGAGAAAGGGAGAATTTTTCAGAGATCTTTGGCTTCAGGTAAATAGCTAACAGCATAACAATGAGAACAGCCTGATATTTCATTAGAAAATCCAACAGACGTCTGGCAGTGTTTTTGTCTGTAAAATGAAGAAATTCCATGAAAGTGTAAAGTGAGGTGAGGTATCCTGTGTGTGTGTGTGTGTGTGTGTGTGTGTGTGTGTGTGTGTGTGTGTGTGTGTGTGTGTGTGTGTGTGTTTCCCAGGCTCAATGACCCCACCCAGTGTCCAACCAATGGCTCCAGAAGAGAGGACTGTGACTGTCGGAGAGACTACACCGCCGCTGGCATCACCACCTTCTCCAAAGTCCGCCTGGACCTCAGCAAAATGAACATCATCAGTGAGTGGCCTTTACACACACAGAGATCAGATGGCACTCACAAACACACACACACACACACACACACACACACACATACCAGCATCCTGTGCCAGTGTAAACTCTACATTACTCTCAAATAAGAACTTCCTTTGCCATTTAATTATGTCCGTGCTCATGAGGGTTAATGAGCTCAAGATGTCTTCAAGGTTCATTTAAGCAACACACAATTACAAGGCTTGAGGGGATTAAATGAAACTGCTCTAAGTAGGTGAAATTATACTGATATTAGGCTGACCCTAAAACTAAGGCTAGATTTAGACCAGTTAAATAGCACAAGGCTTGGTCATTATGGCAGATGTAAGTTATCATTATAAAAGTTCAACTGAGGTCCTATAGCAACACATTTCCAAGAATATCTGTCACATTGTGCTTGATGAGCTTGATGGTTTGTCTTGTTATTCAGCTACAGATTGGCAGTTTGCTTTCACCCGTGAAGGCAAGAGTGTTCCTTTTGCAACAGCTGGAGACTGCTACAGCGCCGCACGATGTCCACAGGTGAGAACAACACCAGCTGTTCATTATATGACAGGAGGGGAAGTTGTCCTTTTTCACAGCAGACCGTTGAATTGTCATAGCAGGAAAAGAACAAGTGTAGCTAGTAATATTAATGAAGGCTCAGTTCTTTTAAGTGTCCGAGTCATTTAATTTAACAAGAATGCCTTGGTACCTAAATGGTATTCAGTTATTAGTGTTATTAATTACACTCCTACTGTGCTCTTTCTGCTACAGTATGACATCTAAAATATCTCCATCCTTTTAGAAGCAGTTCATGCCTCTAGTTCTGGAATATGTTTCTTGATAATTTCACAAAACTGAATTGAATTGTTTATTGATATTTATTCTTGAAACATCCAGCATCTCAGCAGGTCTCATGTTTTTGTGTCATTTGTTGTATGTTGGAGGGCAATGATAGAAATAAGTTACTCTGTACTTTTCATGATCAAATTAATTCAGTCAGTCAAAAAGAGCATTCCACTAATGATTTGCATTAGTTATAAATAGTCATTTTGTGTAAATATCATGTTGCCTGTGATACAGTTTGCACTTACTCTGCTTTGAAAAACCTCTGAAGGACATATATATATATATTTTTTTATCGAGCCTTCTTCAGACACCTTGGTGCTTCACGTCCTCCTTCTCTCTGCTGCTCATAGCAAACCAGACACCTAAAGTCTCTCCATTAAACCACATGGGGAGAGCCAGCAATGTCTCTGAATACATTTCTACATGATTATTTATATTCTCTCTCTCTCTCTCTCTCTCTCTCTCTCTCTCTCTCTCTCTCTCTCTCTCTCTCTGTCTGTCTCTTCTCTCAGGGGCGATTCAGGATCAATCTCTCAGGAACAGGTTTTAAGGTGGCTGAGGACACCTCATGGACTTCCCAGGGAAACTATGCAGTGGCTGATGTACAAAAATCACAGGTACTGGCAATGTGTCACAAATGTTCATGTCAGTATCCTGTAAAAACTCCCCAAATTACAAACTTTAACTGAACAATCTTAAAGACTTTGAGTACATCATTTGAAACTCTCATTATAATCCCTCATTCATACATGCTGGTATACTGGTATGTGACTCTGAGAGGTCCTGTGCACCTGGCTTGTTAAAATACAATATTTAAAGTAGAGATTGGTTTAAATGTAACTATGGCCACTGCTTTAGAACATACATTTAACTACCTATCTGTGCCTTTCTTCATTTTACTGCCTCATTTTCTTTATTCTGTTCTATTAGGTCTTGTACTCCATCCCTCCCTCCTCTTTTTCTCCTCTCTGAATGTCCTCTTGGCTTCCGAGCTCGTGGGCATAGTCCCAAGTGGGTTCTGTATTCCCAGCTCCGCTTCTCCCTGTAAACTAACTGAGAAAGAACCCTTATTGGGCAGCTGCTCTCTCAAGTGCCCCCACACCCTCTGCTTTTGAAATGGAGATCAAGCAGAAGAGTGCTTTTTGGCAAGGAGGAAAACAGGAGGCAGTTGTGATGCCAAAAGTGTTCATAGTCTGATATCCATAGCCAGCCGGCCCGCTCTGGGCACTCCAGGCAGTTTAAATGAAGCCAGGTTGTGACAGTGGGATGGAGAGAGCACTCCAGAAGAGATCAGACAAACCACTCAGTGCACGCTGTGGCTTTCATGTCGTGGGATAGTGCTTTTGGTCTACTCGTCTGCTGCAACTTCCTTTTTGTTTCTAGATGTTTGCATGAAATCCCCCATTATGCTGCACCATGACACTTGTACAGTGCTGGTGATTAATAAGCTTGTTTTTTCTGCTTGTTGCTGAGAGTGATTACCCAATTCATACCTGGTGACAGCCCGCCTGGTGGGCCTCAGTCTTTGTGTGCCTTTTTAAAAGAGAAAAGCTCATTCCAGATGTACCAAAACAAACCTGCCGCAAATACCTTTTAAAGTGATGAAAATCTCAAACTTCTTGGAAGTAGCACAAGAAATTCCTTCACTGTCAAGGCTTTTTTATTAACAGATCCTCCAAACTAACACCTGTTTTACTGTTCAGGTCAGTAACAGGGGAAAGCGCTTCTTCAAAACAGGAGAAAAGACGTTCAAGCAAGCTGTGATCCTGACAAAATCTCATATTCGGCATCTGTATGACTATATTACAAATTGTACTAATGTTCACTTAAAGCTGCTACAGGGAGAAATTTGATTTCTGTTGATCCTGGTGTCCCCTGTGGATAAAAGCACCGGTTCCCAACCTAGGGGTCCCGACTCCTTTCTGATGCAGTGTTCACAGGAAATAATGTGCTCAAAATTCATCCAAACCACTCTTTTTACCCAAACTTCCTGCAGTTATTGCACAGTCATTATCAGTTGTTCTGGCCTGTTGTTGTTATGCAATGAAAATAATATAGCCATAAAATTTGTCAATTAGTGTGGAGTCGGCAGTTTACTCAGTGATAAAAAAGGGATCCCTTAAGGAAAAAGATTGGAAAGCAGTGATATAGAGGCATCAGTATTAAATTAAAATTTGTTGAAAACTCCTTCTAGTACGTTTAAGGAACAGCATCTGAATTGCACATAACTGGGTGTTATTCATGTTGTGTCCACAGGGTGGCAGCAGAGTGTCAGGAATGTGCGGAGGCTACTGTGGTAAATGTACACCGTCCTCTGGCTCCAGCCTGCCTGTATCAGTGGAATACATCTAATACCATCAGACAAGTATGTGATGCTTTCTAAATACACAAACAATGCTTTCATTTCAATTATAAAAGGCATAAATAACAAGGGCTTAGCCCCACCACTGAAATTCAAAGCATGTGACTGGAACCGGCTGTATCTCACAAACTGATGAGGTCTTTATTAAATGTATGTATTTTCAGTCATCAAAGAAGTTGTAAATCTTTTCATTAACCTTTAAGTTATGTATGTGAATACACCTGTCATCTTTATGGTTAAAAATGACAGAGACATCGGACAGCTAATTATCAATTAGTTCATAATATAAAATATACAATTACAATTTGCAATCTGTTTAAAAATGTGTATCTGTCCAATTTTTAATGAGTAACTGACTGAGTGTTAATGTTGTCTTCATGTATTTTTTTTTAGCACCTATTCCCATTCATCTCGACAGTTCTCTTCAGGTGCTTGTTGTGTTCAAAACATCCCTCCTCTTTGGTGCTACTACAGCCAACTCAGAGCTTAAACCCGTCCTTCACATGACCTCTTTTACTCCTGTGTGTGTATATTGTAAATGAATCTGCTGTAAGTACTGTACATAGCAGGATACAAATGTCTTATTTATTGTACTCTCCATTTATTTTTGTATTGTAATATAATTTAACAGTTGCCATTTATGAGATTTTTTTTTTGCTAGATTGTCCCTTCCAATTTAGATATTTGCTACTTGGACTTTTTAGTACTGCTATTACTCTATAGTGCATGTGTTACAGCCATATGTTCTTTTCAATACTAATTCAGTGAGTTGTGTTTATTCCAATAATGTTATTGTTGTGATGGGCCTGTTGTCCATATGTAGCAAGGTGTCTCCAATTAGTGGGTCTTATTTTAAACCTTTTTTTTGCTTCAGGCAAGATTTTGGGGACAGTACAGATGCCAAATATAAGCACAGAGCCATGAGGAGCTCCATGAGCAGATTTTTTTGGTTAGGGAAGTTGGAAGGCTTTCGTCCGCAGCAGAGAACATAGTGCAGGCTCATGAACTGTATCATGTGCGACAATAACACACTGCAAGATACTGAATGTGGAAAAGACACTACAGGGATGAAGCCAATTCATGATCCATACACCAGCATCAGTGTCATTCTGAGCTGAAAGAAAAAGATCACAGCTTCAAACCTCTTTGCAGGAGGACAGGTATGGGAGAGCAACTGTGAGTCAGTTGAAGGGTCTGATCATGTATTTTTATAGCTTTAAAGAATGAATGCATGCAATGTTATAAGGAGTTTGGGTTATAAGGAGTTCGGTCTAGACCTGCTCCATTTGAAAAGTGTCCTGAGATAACTTCTGTTATGAATTGGTGCTATACAAATAAAATTGAATTGAAAATATTTAATTGAATGCATCAAGAAGGGGTAGGTGTGGACGTAGGTTTTACAGGCCAGACCTTGGGAGGAAGTGAGATGTTTACTGATACACAAACACAGTGCAGTATTACACATAAGTACAAACACACTGGAACACATTACTGGACCACAAGGAGAAGGCTGTAGGTTACAAGAACTGTAGAGATTATCTTGCCAGACATCAGAGAGAACCGAATCCCTCTGTGTTCTTGCATATCTCTCAGGTAGCGTTCAGTGACCAGAGAGAGCCATTAGCCTTTAGCTCTTAGAGAGCAGACAGGTTATCTTATCTGGAGCAACTTGAAAGAAAGACTTCACCCCGGGCCAATAAAATTCCAGTAGATACCCCGGAGATATAATGCATTGGTCCGGCCCTGGAGACACCTCTCAAACTGCTAAACTCACAGGCCCCGCAGCGTGCTTTCTGTCCAGATGCTGCCTGTAAACTGTTGCCTTGTGTGCCTCACATTCTTCTCTCCGTCTTTGTTTTTAAGCATCTGTCCAAACTGTACATACAGATGTCCTCCCGTTCAGAGCATTCTGACCTGTTGTTTTTGTTACAATATCAGGGTACTTTTTGTGTATATGTAAGTTTTTGTATCTCTTTAGTCAGTTTCTCTTTAGTTTATGGAGTTTTGTGAGCAGATTTTATTTTTGCAGAAACAGGAAGAAACCATACAAGTCAAGAAGGAGATACAAAAATAAATATTTTTTTTACGTTCTTGAAGCCTTAACTCTGTGTATGTAGGGTACCTCCTGTATCCATTAAGAAGCCATATTTGCTTTTAAGCCTTTCTGTACATGGTTGTATTTCAGTGCTTTATGTGATAATGTGCACTCTTCAGCCAAAGGGAATTTCACAGTCTTAATCTGCCACTATACAAGTATGAAACAATATTAAGACATAAAGACCGATAGTCGCAACTGATAAATGCCCTTCTCATTGTGAATGTCAGAAGAGTTCTCAGGTGTCATAAATCAAGGGATTATTATGATTTTGAAGTGTATTTATCTTATTTTACAATGTATTATTGAAGTGTCATTATATATGCTTTATTATATATGCAAATATTTATTTTATCTTTTCTTAACGTGAATGTACATAGGCTTTGGCCATAAATGACTATGAAGTACCATGCAGTATCGTATAAATGAACTGTCTGGCAACACATTTCCTGTTTTGTGAATACATTTATTTATCTGTATGTCATATCTGCATAAAGTGTATAAGCAGAGTTTGGTGCTACCATATGAAAAGCATGATTTATATGAAATTAGATCAGAAGGAAATAAAATGCCTGACAAATTCCAAGCTTGCCTGTCTGCTTCTCACACAAATATATTATTTTTACCCCAGTTTGCCCTTGATGAACCATCTACAACACTGGCTGCAGAAATCCTGAACTCACAATAGTCAGATTAAGGCTTGGGTCATAAAATTCGCCCCATAGTGCTTCTGCTTAATTATGATTACAAACTTTCTACCAGCAGGCGGGCTTCTGACCTGGCAGAAGTGTTTTATGGATCTAATCTAGTGTCTGTCTGTTTATATATTATATATTCACAATAGTCAATTATCAGGCTATCTACCAGATGTCAGCACTGATCTAACTATATAAATATAATTCACTGCTGAGCAGATTTCAGCAGATAAAAAGCAAAGAGTCAGTGATTGTTATCAAAAGCAGATTCAAACCTCTGGCACTGTAGATCCCCTCCAGACTTCAATTAGCTCCCTAAAAATTCTTAAAATTGCATCAACTCCCTCTCCCTTACTGGAATATCCAGAATCTTTGAATATCCAAATATGCTTTGGTTCAAAAGTTTAACTGTTGGAGAAAACAAACTCGTACTTAACTGAAAAGTCCGTTCTCAGTGTATGTGCACTGGTGGTTTCAGTTTTCCACATCACATTGGTTTAAGTTGGATCATGATTGGTTTAGTGAAGTCACAAAATCCTACTCATACATACATGCCTTAAACTCAGATATACCACTGACAAACTTTCCCTCTTTACTTTACTTTCAGCTTTCTAGCATCAGACTTGTTATATTGCACAGTCAGAGTCAATCAATCATTGCGGGAATGTAATGTATAAAATACAGAAATTTTTCAATATTGACCAGTCATCAAATTCCTCCATAAACTAGAAGAAAGCAAATTTCACTGACATATACTAATGAACATAGTGGATGCTCACTGAACTCCTGCTTCTTTTACAGTACAAGCAACAGTGAACACAACAGATGTGTGTGCGATGCCAGGTGGGCATTTAGACACAAATTACAAATAGGAGCTAGTACAGACACAGCCTAATTAATTTCCCAGATCAGCAACATTAACCATTATGTGCTGATGGTTGTTCATTACCTTAACCCTAAATAATTGTAAGTCATTTACAATGTCTGTCTAATGTAATCAGTGTGGCAGGCACAAAGAAATTTGACCTCAGTATTCTTAGCATTGTACGTAAAATGATCTCATATATATTTTAAAGTGAGAGTTAGTTACTTTGGAAAGCAGCAATCATTTTTTTCTTTCTCTTACAAATTAAGAGTTTAATTCATTTTATTTTATTAATTTAATTCATAAAACACACTCTTGATCAGCTCAATACATGCAGAGGTTTTGCTGCTATTGTCTTACTTGGTCTGGTATGATTAGGATCTTATGGTGGAAAATGTTAGTAAAGTCAAACTATACAGGATTTTCCTAAAGAACAACGTGTCGACTCATGCAAACATAATCCCTCTCAATCATCACTTATGAGCCAGTGTGTGGTATGCTGACCCTGCCCTGTGCCTTTATATTCGTATTCTGTTGTGTGCGGGACGTCTCTGGGTGTCAACCTTTGGATAGCAGGGTTTGAGTTCTCATATAAAGACATAGGTTCCGTCAAAGTCTATGTCTCTTCTCTGCTCCCTGTCTATGTGATGTATCCATAACGAGCTGCAGGTCTGTGTGCCAGTGTTTGCTTGGCCGAGGGCAGACAGGGTGAAATGACTGTCCTGCAGCGTTGTGCACAGACGTGGCCTTGTCAATCAGAAAATAACTGTTTCCCTGCTTTGTTCTTGCTAACTTCCCTTCCTCTCTTCATTCATTCTCTATCTCGACCAACATTGCTCTCTCTGCCTGCTCAAGCACGGGAGGAGAGAACAGCTTTGAATGGTGTGTTTTAAAACAGCAATGAACAAATCCTGCATAGTATACCTTTGAGTAGATGTTGATGAATAATAGATGTTACTGAGTTAGTTCACTGACTTTAATGTTCTTCTTCACTACTATTATACTACATTTTAGTATTTACCGTGCATCTCAATAGTTTGGAGTGGGGAATGAAATGCTGCAGGCAGAATGTGTATGCATTTACAGTAAGTAACTGACACAAGCTTACATAATCAATATTTCATGTTGTTGTGGTAATCTCAGGTGAGCCGTAGCAGTAGGAGCCAACACATCATTTGGGGACTGATTCCTTAAATGTCTGTCAACAGTTTGAGTAAGTTGCTGTTTTAGAGTGGCAGTTAGACAGGAGGGATAAGTACAAGTGTGAAAAGAAAAGAGAGAGGAGGAGGGTCGGGGAGGCAGGAGCTTTCAACAGCTCCAGAGGGCTTGTCTAAACTTAAGTATGTGATTCAAAAGTAGATTAGCAAACATCCCAGGGGTCAGTTTGAAGAAAAACTATCTGCGTTTTCCTTTCTCTTTCCTGCACACACACGAAAACTGTGAGACAGGTCCTCTATGGAGTAGATAGATGACACCTGCTTGTTGGCAGGTTTGTGTTACATCAGATTGTCCTGAAAAAGAACTGACAGACTTACAGGTAAATCTTCTTTCCTTTGCAGATGCAGCCAAACGTAATCCAAAGACCTCTGCCTCGCTGCTCATAAATAGTTGCATCACTGCTGAAAGTTGGGATGAATTCCTCCAAGCATGCTGACTGTTGGTTTAACATTACAAAGACAAGTGGCTTCTGGCTGTGAGACTGTATCTACCTCTCACTCCAGGTTTTCAGCCGCATATTTTTTTTGTGTGTTGTTAATGCATATTTGACATCCACATAATGTGTGTATACATGTGGATTTATGTTAGGATCTCCACGGAGACCTCACAGGGGCGTGTTCTGTTTGACACCGACAATCAGCATATGCGTCAGGCAGGTGGTTCAAAGCAAACAAATACTACACCTCAGAGGTCCTAACTCGAGATTTTAAAAGCACAATTTAAAAATTAATCTGTGCATGTGCGATTTTTCTTTATTCTTTAATCTGTGAATTTATAATCTGTGCAAAAACCTGTATGGTTTTTCTTACTGCACATGAGTTTTCAGCGTACACAGTATAAATAGTGGCCAACTTGACAGTGACTATTGGAAATTTCAAAGATGAGGATTCAGACCACATAAATTAAACTGTTGGTTTTCCGAGTAAAATATTTCACCTGAATTCCATTTTATTCACCAAAAAAACAGTCCATAATTTGTTTCCGTAACTCATAATTACGATTTACTAACTCACAATTACAGGAAAAGATCTCATAATTCAGGATGTCACACCTTTGGGGTTTTTTTTATATTGTTATTGTGAGAGAGATAGAAAATCATAATTATATGGAAATTGTAATTACAAGATTGTGTTATTTTTAATTTATTTTTTCTTTGTTGCAACAATGTGTACAATATTGAATATTCAGTAGTTACTCAGATTTAAATCTTTATAAATATGTTGAACAAGTGTGACAGACACTGATCTCTCACCCACTCAGTCTATAGCTGTGACTTAATCTGTAGATTCAGGCTGCTGCAGTGTGAAAGCATCCTCGTTGGTATTCTTCACTGGTCTGTAGTTTTTCCTCTCGTCTTCTGGGTCCTTTACAGTCATCTGCACTCCATCCCACGGCTAAACAGCACCGACGGCTGCCAACATTTTACCTCTCCGCTCTCAGTGGGGTCTAAATGCACACTGATATCTGTCCCTGGTAGAACACATAGTGTTAATGCTGACTGAAGGATAAAGAGAGAGGACTGTGAATTATGCAGCAGAGAAAGGTCACTGAAACTGTGTTTGCTGACTGCTTTAAATGGTGCAAGTATGTGTACAGGTGTGTATCAGTGAAAAAGATAGAGTGGGGTGGGTGGGGACGGAGAATATTTGACACCAATGTTCCAAACAAAAACTCAGTAAACTGATACAGGCGATATCATTTTTCTGTATCTGTATTCATGTGGATACAGTAGGCAGTTTCCTGTGCTAGACTCACACACCTTCCCACAAGGATTAGAGCAGTGACCTAAGCAGCTGTTGGCGTCAGGCTGTACTAGACATTCCCAACACATCTGAACGTCATTTCCACCACCTTGCAAGCAACTGCCCCTTGAAGCCAAATAAGCCCTGACATACGTCTGCAGGTCTAAAGTTCACTGGCAGGATATTTGAGATAATTCAAGGTAAAAAGCACGGCATCAGAAATCCCAGCTCGAGCTTTTATGAAGACTGTCTTTATTTTTTCCCACAATGACTGCAGCCATATCTATCCTCTCACTGCACTGTACCCTGTTGACTGTACAACCAAAAAAGGAGCTTTTCTAGACTACTTTTTGCATTGCTCCTAGAAAATAGCGTGCAATCTGTTTTCGATTCTGCCAACAGTGTTTAGACTCTTAACTTAAAACTTAATGAGGTGAGTTTTAAAGTCCTGAGTCCCCAGGGTCAGCTCCCCCTACCACCATTATCATCATCATTCCTCAAGGTAATCTAGGATGACTTTGAACTCAGGCTTAGTAGTAAGCCTCAGGCCCACATGCACACACAAATACTCTGGATGCCCAGATACAGTATGTGTGTATCTGAGTGTGGAATGACTTCTCTTTTGTGTGTCTCTGTCTCACTGCCATCATTCGACTGCAGACTGCTGATGCGTAACTAGGATGTTTTGTTTTTGCCTTTATCTACCAGTGCAAGGTTACCAGTGTGTCCTTGAGACAAAGCAGACATCTCACTGTTTCTCTGTTGCAATTCAGTTCGCAGCAGAATCATTTTGTTTTGACACAGCAACACCTGTGCTCCTGTTTTCTGTTTCCTTTTCCTATCCTCATTTTTCATGCAAAAATTAATGTTCCAGTTTCTCAAATCTGAGGATTCACTGCTTTTCCTTTTAATTGTTTTAATTTATTTTTAACAATTTTTAATTGCTGGACAAAGCAAGCATTGTGAAGATGTCACTTTGGGCTTGGGTAATTGTGTCAGCATTTATCATTATTTTCAGAATGATTACAAACAAAACAATCATGTATGTAATCAATGCATGGATTGT